CTTCTCCCGCCCGGGCGCAGACACCCACATCAGGGGATCAGACTCCCTACGGCAGGTAGCCAAAGAATGTGGTGCGGTGCATCCAGAGATGCTATCCTCAACCAAACTTAGAAAGCACATAGCTACTATGTCTACAGTTCTCAATATGAAAGAGAATGAAATGGACATACTAGCCAACTTCCTCGGCCATGACATTCGCATCCACAATATTACAGACTACCAGAGGGGACACTGGAGCTGGCCAAAATCAGCAAAGTGTTGATGGCCATGGAGCAGGGAAGAGTGACGGAATTCGAAGGAAAGAGCCTCGACCAGATACAAATTGAGCCTGAAGGTAATTCTTGATATTATTAAAATATGTATGATTTTTTTCCCCTAAAGGCCACTTGTATTTTTATTTTCTGTGCGACAGGGAGAGCAGTAGAGATCTTCTCACAAACGGACGGGCTAAAAGAAACTTCAAGCGGAGAACCTTCAACCATTCATCCAGATGCACCCCATGGTAGTGGCAGTGCCCCTTCTGGTAAGTGTACCAGGTGGGGGATTACAGCCAGGCTGCTTGGTCCTAACCCTGGGAGTGTATATTGCTAATATATTTTTATTTCTCTCCCTAGAACGTGTAAGAAAGCCATGGTCTGCATCTGAGGTGAAGGCTGTGGAGAAGACCATGACACCTTTCATACAGACTGGAAAGGTCCCTGGGAAGTCTCACTGCCTGGCCTGCATTAATGCCTCACCAGATGACCTTAGACATCGGACATGGAGTGGCATTAAATTCTATGTCAAAAATAGAATCACTGCAATTCGAAAAAAAAAACTAAAATAAAATTCCTTAAAAAGAGTTGTTTGTTTTCTATTGACTGTTTTGTATTACTTAAAGTAGTCCCAGTAAAAAAAGATTATGTCTATGGGTCCCATTCTGAACGGCCCTGTCAAAGGGACCCACCAGGTAACAAAAACGTGTATGTGTGGGAGTGCAGAAATAAATGACTTCCCGAGAGGGCCCGGGTTAAAATTACGTTTGTATAGGGATGGGAGAACCACACTGTCTAACCGGCGTTCCAGGGGGTACATACCACGGGTCTCACCGCGAAAGAGCAAGAACCCGGGCTTAAATAGAGCCAAGGGCAGCTCCTGAAGTGGTGGGGTCCTCGGAAATCAGACTAAGTGTTTTGAGAAAAAACCTAAGTGTTTAGGCTGTAGGACCAGGCACACGTTAAAAATCAGACTAAGTGTTTTGAGAAAAAACCTAAGTGTCTAGCTTGTAGTACTAGGCACGTTTTGTTCTGTTTGTAGTCCCAGGCACGCCTGGTTTTTCCAGCAGCGCTTAAGGGTGTGCAGTCCGAGGGGGGGCTCAATAGTGGGTACCCGGTTCCGACTGGTGCACAGGTCTTCCCCGGCCCCGGCGGTCCCTGGAGGTGCGCCTGCGGGGGTGTGGGTTGCCGTGGTCGGGCAGCAGCCTGCACAGAGCCCCCCTGGAGATCCAGACCGCCCCCACGCCTGCACATAGCCCCCATGGAGGTCCTGGGCTTCCCCACACCTAACCTTAACCCCCACGGAGATCCAGGCCGCCCCCACGCCTGCACATAGCCCCCCTGGAGGTCCAGGCCTTCCCCACACCTAACCTTAACCCCCATGGAGATCCAGGCCTTCCCCACACCTAACCTTAACCCTCATGGAGATCCAGGCCGCCCCCACACCTGCACATAGCCCCCCTGGAGAACCAGGGCTTCCCCACACCTAACCTTAACCCCCATGGAGATCCAGGCCTTCCCCACACCTAACCTTAACCCCCATGGAGATCCAGGCCTTCCCCACACCTAACCTTAACCCCCATGGAGATCCAGGCCGCCCCCACACCTAACCTTAACCCCCATGGAGATCCAGGCCGCCCCCCACGCCTGCCCATAGCCCCCCTGGAGGTCCAGGCCTTCCCCACACCTAACCTTAACCCCCATGGAGATCCAGGCCTTCCCCACACCTAACCTTAACCCCCATGGAGATCCAGGCCGCCCCCCACGCCTGCACATAGCCCCCCTGGATGTCCTGGGCTTCCCCACACCTAACCTTAACCCCCATGGAGATCCAGGCCTTCCCCACCCTAACCTAACCCCCTGGAGATCCAGGCCTTCCCACACCTAACCCTAACCCCCACGGAGATCCAGGCCGCCCCCCACGCCTGCACATAGCCCCCCTGGAGGTCCAGGCCTTCCCCACACCTAACCTTAACCCCCATGGAGATCCAGGCCTTCCCCACACCTAACCTTAACCCCCATGGAGATCCAGGCCGCCCCCCACGCCTGCACATAGCCCCCCTGGAGGTCCTGGGCTTCCCCACACCTAACCTTAACCCCCCATGGAGATCCAGGCCCTCCCCACACCTAACCTTAACCCCCATGGAGATCCAGGCCCTCCCCACACCTAACCCTAACCCCCACGGAGATCCAGGCCGCCCCCCACGCCTGCACATAGCCCCCCTGGAGGTCCAGGCCTTCCCCACACCTAACTTTAACCCCCATGGAGATCCAGGCCTTCCCCACACCTAACCTTAACCCCCATGGAGATCCAGGCCGCCCCCCACGCCTGCACATAGCCCCCCTGGAGGTCCTGGGCTTCCCCACACCTAACCTTAACCCCCATGGAGATCCAGGCCCTCCCCACACCTAACCTTAACCCCCATGGAGATCCAGGCCCTCCCCACACCTAACCTTAACCCCCATGGAGATCCAGGCCGCCCCCCACGCCTGCACATAGCCCCCCTGGAGGTCCAGGCCTTCCCCACACCTAACTTTAACCCCCATGGAGATCCAGGCCGCCCCCACGCCTGCATATAGCCCCCCTGGAGGTCCAGGCCTTCCCCACACCTAACCTTAACCCCCATGGAGACCCAGGCCCTCCCCAGACCTAACCCTAACCGGCCTGGAGATCCTGGTAGCCCCCACACATGAACATAGCCCCCCTGGAGAACCAGGCCTTTCCCACCCCTCAGCCTACAAATCAGCCTAAGTGTTTTGCCAAAAAACCTAAGTGTCTATGCTGTAGTACTGGGCTCGCTGTGGCCGAGTGGCAAAGGCGATGGAATAGGGAGTCATTGAGGTCCTCCCACGCAGGTTCGAATCCTGCCCACAGCACTTAGAATTATTTTCACATTTGCTTGGAGCACCAGGCCTGTGATGGCTCTATTTCAAGCCGTACTTCAGGGCTTTTTTCGGGGTTAAAACCTCCGAGGACCCCCCCTGGGTCTCAGGCTTGCCAGTGCTGCATTTATGTCCGGATTTCTAAGCTTTTTTCGGGGATAGAACCTCCACAGAATCCCCTCGGTTCTGGGACCCGCATGGCCCTATTTTAAGCCGGATTTAATGGCTTTTTTCGGGGTTAAAACCTCCGAGGACCCCCCCCCTGGGTCTCAGGCTTGCCAGTGCTGCATTTATGTCCGGATTTCAGAGCTTTTTTCGGGGATAGAACCTCCACAGAATCCCCTCAGTTCTGGGACCCGCATGGCCCTATTTTAAGCCGGATTTAAGGGCTTTTTTCGGGGTTAAAACCTCCAAGGACCCCCCCTGGGTCTCAGGCTTGCCAGTGCTGCATTTATGTCCGGATTTCAGAGCTTTTTTTCGGGGATAGAACCTCCACAGAATCCCCTCGGTTCTGGGACCCGCATGGACCTATTTTAAGCCGGATTTAAGAGCTTTTTTCGGGGTTAAAACCTCCAAGGACCCCCCCTGGGTCTCAGGCTTGCCAGTGCTGCATTTATGTCCGGATTTCAGAGCTTTTTTCGGGGATAGAACCTCCACAGAATCCCCTCGGTTCTGGGACCCGCATGGCCCTATTTTAAGCCGGATTTAAGGGCTTTTTTCGGGGTTAAAACCTCCGAGGACCCCCCCTGGGTCTCAGGCTTGCCAGTGCTGCATTTATGTCCGGATTTCAGAGCTTTTTTCGGGGATAGAACCTCCACAGAATCCCCTCGGTTCTGGGACCCGCATGGCCCTATTTTAAGCCGGATTTAAGGGCTTTTTTCGGGGTTAAAACCTCCGAGGACCCCCCCCTGGGTCTCAGGCTTGCCAGTGCTGCATTTATGTCCGGATTTCAGAGCTTTTTTCGGGGATAGAACCTCCACAGAATCCCCTCGGTTCTGGGACCCGCATGGCCCTATTTTAAGCCGGATTTAAGGGCTTTTTTCGGGGTTAAAACCTCCAGGGACTCCCCTTGGTTCTGTGACCTGTCATTGCTCTTTTTCAAGACAGATTTCATGCGCTCTCTCCCGGGGAGAAATGCGCCCACCCTTATTCTTTGAGAATATGTGTGTGTGTGTGTGTGTGTGTGTGTGTGTGTGAGACGTTTGTGTGAGACCTGTGTGTGTGAGACCTGTGTGTGTGTGTGAGACCTGTGTGTGTGAGACCTGTGTGTGTGTGAGACCTGTGTGTGTGTGAGACCTGTGTGTGTGTGAGACGTGTGTGTGTGTGTGTGTGAGACGTTTGTGTGAGACCTGTGTGTGTGTGAGACCTGTGTGTGTGAGACCTGTGTGTGTGAGAGACCTGTGTGTGTGTGAGACCTGTGTGTGTGTGTGAGACCTGTGTGTGTGTGATACCTGTGTGTGTGTGTGAGACCTGTGTGTGTGAGACCTGTGTGTGTGTGTGAGACGTTTGTGTGAGACCTGTGTGTGTGTGTGAGACCTGTGTGTGTGTGTGAGACCTGTGTGTGTGTGTGTGAGACCTGTGCGTGTGGAACCTTTGTGTGTGTGTGTGTGAGACCTGTGTGTGTGTGTGAGACCTGTGTGTGTGTGTGTGAGACCTGTGCGTGTGGAACCTGTGTGTGTGTGTGTGTGAGACCTGTGTGTGTGAGACCTGTGTGTGTGAGACCTGTGTGTGTAAGACCTGTGTGTGCGTGTGAGACTTGTGTGTGTGTAAGACGTGCACATACCGCTCTACATCATCGTCACTAAAAATGTCTCTGTGTACGTTGTGCGCCTGTAGAACCAGACGTCGTGGGTGCTGTCCAGTATGGCGGCTCTCTTCTGGAGGGTCAAAGGTCAAGGGAAAAAGGCTATCGATTGTCTGCGGCAAGCGCTCAACTATGCCCCCCACCACATGAAGGTGCCCCTCCCTCTGCTCCGTGTCTCCATCTCCCACACTCCACAACTAAATCATCCTTTAACATGTTGAACACCAAATGTGACATGTACATTTCTCCAGTGTGAGATCAATAAAGTCTATCTTATCTTATCCTTGTCACTAAACACTTTATCTGTTGTTATTATTATTATTTTACTACAATACCGCATATTCCATTCATCTGATATTTCTGTCATTCACTAGTCACTTTACCTGCTGCTATTGTGACTATTGTTTATTCTGGTCATATTCTCTAAGTAGAATATGCACATCTGTAAATACTTCCAAACCAAGTGCAATTACAGCTCCAGAGTTTTATTTTATTCAATTTTCTCTATTATCTTAAAACCAAGTGCAATTACAGCTCCAGAGTTTTATTTTATTCAATTTCTCTATTATCTTAAATAATAGATCCTGTTTAATGTGAGTCTCATATTTCCTACTTTTTATTCTACTGTAGTGTAAGTAAGTAAGTAAGTAGTAAGTAAGTTTTTATTTATATACCGCCTTTTCACTGCAGATCTGAGTCTCAAAGCGGTTTACAATTGTTAATTTTTGGGCATTTGTCTCTCACTCCACACAGAGATGGGAGCCGGGTCGCCAGTACAGGAGGCGCATGCCAGAACTATTGGACATGTTTTTAGTGGTAGGGGAAACCGGAGTACCCGAAGGAAACCTACGCAGACACGGGGAGAACATGCAAACTCCACTCAGAAAGGCCCTGGTCCGACCGGGATTCGAACCCAGGACCTTCTTGCTGAGAGGCGAGAGTGCTATCCACTCAGCCACCGTGCCGCCCAAGTGTGCAACGATGACACTGACATTTCCCCGCTGTGGGATGTATAAAGGATTATTTTATCTTAATCACGTCCGGGATTAAGGGGCGGCACTCTCGCTTTTCAGCAAGAAGCTCCAGGGTTCGAATCCCGGTCGGAATAGGGCGTTTGAATGTTTTCCCTGTGTCTGCATAGGTTTCCTCCAGGTGCTCCTGCCACTAAAAACATGAAGGTCTGAATGTAATGAGTGAGTGAATGGATGGTGTTTGCTCGGAGGCTTTGATGCTCCAGTGTGGTCGGCGTCTCGCTTCCGTCATCACTGCGTGTGAAATGGAACAATATCTAAACATTGTAAAGGGCTTTGGGTGAACTTGGTCTGTAAAATGTGCTTTATAGATAAAACATTACTTACTTAGATGCTGGACAGTTGAGACCTCGCTCCTATCTCTGTGTACAGTGAGAGACAAATGTCCACAAACGTTTTGTGACTCCGGCCTGTGAGAGGCGCCATATAAATAATGATGACTGAGTCTGAACCCTGGTGTCTCTCTCTTCAGGACGTGCCTCTCATCAGCCTCGCCAACATCTTCCAGAATGCACGTCTGTGGGAGGACGCCCTGACAGTGGCGCGCATGGCAGTGGAGATCGCCCCGCACTTCGTTGTCAACCACTTCACCCTCGCCAACGTCTACATCGCCATGGTAACCAACATCGGATATGCACGGCTTTTTATATAAAGAAATACATACGTACATTAATAAAAAGTTGCTAACACTTCTTAGATTAGCCCTCACTAATTACTTTAATCAATAAACTTTTATTTGTAGAGCGAGGCGCTTTTTTTTTTTTTTTTTTGAGCAGAAACTTATTTAAAACATTTTACAGAAGAAAACAAAACAAGACTATTGTGCTCAAAAGGAGTAGTAAGAAGTTCAAAGAACTTATAATAAACCTACCCCTTATCTCTCATTCAAGTAACACAAAATATCACAAAGGATTTATCATTTACAGTCGTACAAAATAAATAAAGGATTTATCATTTACAGTTTTACAAAAATAAATACACCATATGGTATTTAATATGTATAGCAATTATATTGCAACATCACTTCATCTGATTGAAATCGACACATTTTTTACAAACTCAATGCATTGAACTTATGCATGTGTAAACGTTCGGTTTTAGTGAAATTTATTTATTTATTTATTTTTTTTTCATCCCTCTCTACAATACCTCAATCCTCATATACGGGCAAACCCCATAACAACAACAAAAAAGCGCGAGTGTGTGCCTGTGAAAATAATAGTAATTAAAGCCGCAAGCGGCGATGAAAGGCCTCGCCCCTCTTGCGACCGCCTCCTGGGTGCCAGTCCCGCAAGCGTCACGCCAACGAATTGGCTGCCCGATCTGACCAGGATTACGTATATAAAAGCTCATTTATATGATAAAGTGCGTCCCTAGTGGTCACCTCCGGGACATGCACCCTCTACGTAGAGTAGTATTTTGCTCGTGCAGATGTAAAGATTTGATTTTGCAACTTTGGTGAAGATCGGAAAAGTTTAGGTCAGAAGCCTTCCATAGGTGGCGCTGTAGAGTCATATTAGGTGTGTGTTTTCACACCATTACTCTCAGGCCATTACCAACTGTTAGCGATGTGAGTTTCAGCTCTGTAGGTCTGAGCCTGTGGTCACGAGAGCATCAAACACGGAGAAATTCCCCACTACCTCGCATGAAAACGATAACAAAATTCTAACTTTTTATGCGATGATGCCTTTAATCCATCCAGATGGAGAAATGACATGGTAGAAGTATGTGCGATGAAAATCCAGGGACTAGTACGAAGCCAAAAATGCGACACCTTGAACTGCCTGTAGGTGGCGCTGTTGCACTCACAGTTGTGTGTTGTATATCGTTGTGTTCAGGGTCATACGCTGTATTTCTGAATTCATTTTTAGCCTCATCGGACAAACATTTTGCCCCAAAAAGCTCATTTATTCACTTTAGCGGCGCCCCCAGTGGTCAGGTGTGGGACGTACAACTTTTGCGTAATGTAATGTTTTGCTCGTCTCGGTCCAGAGAATACACTCAGCGATTTTCGGGCCGATCCGAGCACTAGTGCCCTATTACTTTCCGACAGGTGGCGCTAAAGAGCTCATATTGGGCGAATGATTTTAGTGTCATTGCGTTCAGGCCATAACCTAATATTACTGATGTGAGTCTCAGCTCTGTAGGTCTGAGCCTGTGGCCCTCAGGGCTCAGCGAAAATGGCCAAAACGAAGGCCTTATTTGCCATGGCGAGGGACGAAAACGGTGAAGATTTTCTAACTTTTTTTCGATGATTATATAACTTCAATCCGTCCAGATTGGGAAATGACGTGGTAAAACTCTGTGTGATGAAAAACCAGGGACTAGTTTGAATTTGTAAATGAAAAGTCAAATTAGTGGCAAAACTTTGGCCCATCATGGCCGACTTCCTGTTGGTCCCAGACATGTGCTTAGACCGGCTTTTATGCTCGTCTCATAGAGATCTATCACTCATCCGAATTTCGTGTACCTACTCCAAAATATGCAATCCTGCCTCCAATAGAAATGGCAAATTTTGAAATTTCAAGGGGGCGCTATTGATTCGCCTTTTGTCGGACAATCTAGAAACGTCCGTTTTATCAAATTTTTCGCCGGACCGGTCGTTTTAGACCCCCATGTGCAGACTTTCGTGCATGTCTTCAGGGTCAAAAATCGAATTGAAGATGCAGAAAAAAAATTATAATTAAAGCCGCAAGCGGCGATGAAAGGCCTCGCCCCTCTTGCGACCGCCTCCTGGGCGCCAGTCCCACAAGCGTCACGCCGACGAATTGGCAGCCCGATCTGACCAGGATTACGAATATAAAAGCTCATTTATATGATAAAGTGCGTCCCTAGTGGTCACCTCCGGGACATGCACCCTCTACGTAGAGTAGTATTTTGCTGGTACAGATGTAAAGATTTGATTTTGCAACTTTGGTGAAGATCGGAAAAGTTTAGGTCAGAATCCTTCCATAGGTGGCGCTGTAGAGTCATATTAGGTGTGTGTTTTCACACCATTTCTCTCAGGTCATTACCAACTGTTAGTAATGTGAGTTTTAGCTCTGTAGGTCTGAGACTGTGGTCACGAGAGCATCAAACATGGAGAAATTCCCCACTACCTCGCATGAAAACGATAAAAAAAATCTAACTTTTTTGCGATGATTGCATAACTTTAATCCATCCAGATGGAGAAATGACATGGTAGAAGTCTGTGCGATGAAAATCCAGGGACTAGTACGAAGCCAAAAATGCGACACCTTGAACTGCCTGTAGGTGGCGCTGTTGCACTCACAGTTGTGTGTTGCATATCGTTGTGTTCAGGGTCATACGCTGTATTTCTGAATTAATTTTTAGCCTCATCGGACAAACATTTTGCCCCAAAAAGCTCATTCATTCACTTTCCGGCGCCCCCAGTGGTCAGGTGTGGGACGTACAACTTTTGCGTAATGTAATGTTTTGCTCGTCTCGGTCCAGAAAATACACTCAGCGATTTTCGGGCCGATCCAAGCACTAGTGCCCTATTACTTTCCGACAGGTGGCGCTAAAGAGCTCGAATTGGGCGAAGGATTTTAGTGTCATTGCGTTCAGGCCATAACCTAATATTACTGATGTGAGTCTCAGCTCTGTAGGTCTGAGCCTGTGGCCCTCAGGGCTCAGCGAAAATGGCCAAAACGAAGGCCTTATTTGCCATGGCGAGGGACGAAAACGGTGAAGATTTTCTAACTTTTTTTCGATGATTATATAACTTCAATCCGTCCAGAGCGGGAAATGACGTGGTAGAACTCTGTGTGATGAAAAACCAGGGACTAGTTCGAATTTATAAATGAAAAGTCAAATTAGTGGCGAAACTTCGGCCCCTCATGGCCGACTTCCTGTTGGTCCCAGACATGTGCTTAGAACGGCTTTTATGCTCGTCTCATAGAGATCTATCACTCATCCGAATTTCGTGTACCTACTCCAAAATATGCAATCCTGCCTCCAATAGAAATGGCAAATTTTGAATTTTCAAGGGGGCGCTATTGATTCGCCTTTTGTCGGACAATCTGGAAACGTCCGTTTTATCAAATTTTTTGCCGGACCGGTCGTTTTAGACCCCCCATGTGCAGACTTTCGTGCATGTCTTCAGGGTCAAAAATCGAATTGAAGATGCGGAAAAAAAATAATAATATGAAACCGGTGAATAACAATAGGCCTCCCCAATACTTCGTATTGGCTCGGCCTAATAATATGAAACCGGTGAATAACAATAGGCCTCCCCAATACTTCGTATTGGCTCGGCCTAATTATGATACTTCACTAGCATTATTTTTAAATATAATGTCTTTACATGTTTTTTTTTTAAGTGTACTAGTGTTTTGCTCTGTTTTGTCTCTTTATTTAGGTCATTCCACAATGTTATTCCTGCTTGGGAGATACACATACTTTTGAGGGTGGTGTGAACACAATGTTTCCTCATCACAAATTCCCCTCTTAAATTAAGTTCCTTCTCTACTGTTGAACAATTTCTGAGTGTTCCTAGGGAGAAGGTCACGACTTGCTTTGTATAATACAACAAGAGTTTTAAATTTAGTTAAGTACTACTACTTACTTACTTACTAAGTCTTCAATTTTCATTATACGAGATGCTAAGAACAACTCATTTGTATGGTCCCTAAAACCAACGTTATGAACGATTCTTATGGCTTTTTTCTGAAGTTTTAAAAGTGGATCTAAATGAGTTTTATAAGTGTTACCCCAAACCTCTGCACAGTAGCTGATATATGGGAGAATTAAAGAACTATATATAATATGTAAGGCTCTATATTTTAGCAGATGTCTAGCTCTGTACATTACCGATATACTCTTTGCTATTTTTGATTGTATGCTTGTTATATGGGGTTTCCAGCTTACATTATGACTTAAAATCACACCCAGAAATTTACATTCGTGAACTCTCTCTATTTCCATATTGTTGATTTTAAGTTTTACTTCAGTATCTTTGATTCGTTTCCCAAAAATCATCATTTTTGTTTTCCTAATATTCATTGACAGTTTGTTATTATCGAACCATTGTTTTAACTTGTTTATTTCTGTTGAGATTTCCGTCATAAGAAGCTGTAAATCCTTTCCTGAACACAGAATTGTTGTATCGTCAGCAAATAGTATGAATTTCAGTTTAGAAGAGGTATAACGGAGATCATTTATATATAATAAAAACAACATAGGACCCAAAATCGATCCTTGTGGCACCCCGCAAGTAATATTCTGCATTTCAGACATGCATTCCTCCAGTTGAACATACTGTTTCCGGTCTGAGAGGTATGATTTGACCCAGTTCAGTGCAACTCCACGAATGCCATATTTTTCCATTTTTTGCAGTAGTATTTGATGGTTCATTGTGTCAAACGCTTTTTTAAGGTCTATAAATATTCCTACAGAGTATAGCTTTTGGTCAATACTGTTGGTTATATCCTCAAATACTTCTGTTAGTGCTAGGGCAGTTCCTCTATTTTTTCTAAAGCCATACTGACTTTCAATGAGTAAATTATATTGTTCTATAAACCTATCAAGACGATTAGAGAAAAGTTTTTCAAGGATCTTAGAGAACTGAGGTAGAATCGATACAGGTCTGTAATTTAGCACCTCATGACTATCACCATTTTTAAATATAGGCACAACTTTGGCAATTTTCATTTGACTTGGGAATTTCCCAGTCTCGAGAGACAGGTTACAGATATGAGTTATGGGCACTACAATTTCATGTATGACCCTTTTGATAAGAGTCATATCAATGTCATTATAGTCCCTAGATTGTTTGCTCTTACATTGGTTAACTAAATCTATAATTTCTTTTGTATCTGTAGGAGTCACACACAATGAATCTCTGCTTTCCAATACATTTTCTAGAACATTTGCATTGTCCAAATTATTAATTTGATTTGCCATTTCGGGCCCAATGTTAACAAAATAGTCATTAAACATATTTACAATGTTGCCCAGTTTGGCTTCTTTTTTTCCATTATGTGTGATATAATCTGGAACAGGATTTTTCCCGGTGTTCCTTCTTATAACACTATTTAATGTACTCCACAAGCCTCTCATACTATTTTTATTTTTCTCAAGCTGGTTTGTGTAGTATTCTTTCTTAGATATTCGCATTATATTGGTTAGTTTGTTTTTATACCTTTTTATATTTTGTTTCAGTTTCTAAGGTTCTTTTCCTAAGAAATGTTTTGTACAGAGCATTTTTTTTTATATGCGTTCCTTATCCCTTTTGTTATCCATGGCCTCTCCTCCTTTTTTGCTTTCATTTTGTATGTTTTTGTTGGACGACCTTTATCACATGTAAAAAAAAAACATTAAAGAAGCTATACCCAATTTTTTTATGAATGAGTTCATAAAAATGCTTATTACTACATACAAGTACAATACAATACAATTTATTCTTTTATAGCCCTAGGTCACAACAGAAGTCATCTCAGAGGACTTAACAAAACCATTGAAATCACCAACACAGGTCAGAGAATCAACAGTTAAAACACATGAAGAATATAAAGCACACACAGAAGAAAAGGTCCATACATGTTGTAGAATGCTAAAGTGTCCTGATCATCACCAATCCTTTCTGTTGGACACTAACTGTCCAACAAGACCCTCCTGCATCGACGAGGAAAAACTCTTAAAAAACCCAGTGGGAAAAAGTGAGAAACCTTGGGGAGAACGAAACCCAAGGCTTATTATAATCCGTAAATTAATTGAAAACTTGAGCTCATTGATTCAGCTTGTGTATGAATTCAGGCCGTGAAAAGTGCTGAGCAGAGACTTGGCGTGACGGTCGTTCTCCTCCACTCACAGAACGAGGAGCGGCGTTGTAACGAACAGGCCGCACCCTCTAGCCTCCACAGCGCTAGTAAACACAGCAACATTTTAGCAGAATTGGCTATAACCCCTCTTGTTGTAACTGCAGACACAGCAAAACAGCTCAAACGTTGCAACAGTGAGGAAGAGAAGAGGGAACTAAAGTGAAACAATTATCAAAGAAGAAATCAAGCCCGGGTGAACATAGCTAGCTTACATCGTATCCTCTGGAGAGGCTTAGTGCTGAACTCCACCGGCCGCGTCTCCGTTTACACACGTAGGCTGCTGCCCGTCAGGCGTGCGTAAAACAGAATAGTGGCCACACCGGCTTCAGCAGTGCACAGCTCTGGCTGTGCGTTTATCAGCAAAGCTGCCCATGCTAATGTTTGCATATGCATCAGATAGCAAATACTGTAAAACAAGATGGCTCTGTGGAATGAGCGTAGGGTAAATGATAAGCCTGTGAGCGAGTTGAGGGGCGGTGCTAAACAGTAAAATAACCGGGTATAGCTTCTTTCATTTTTATTAAAAAAAGAACATTGATGTAACACAAAGAATAACAAATTAAAAATACAAATTATTTTTTTTAGATTTCCTCATCCAACCACATTCCTACAGCTCTGAGCGCCGTGTAACTGTAAGAGGGCGTAGCTCAAGTGTTATTGATGTAACTGACGTCATGAACAGGAAGAACAGGGCTCTGGGCTGAAGGAAAAATACTTTATGTTAATATTACACTGACTGAAGTGACGTTCGTTACAGTAATTTTAGTTTAGTTTAGTTTATTCGGTCAGGCATCGAAAACAAAGTTGTACAAGGATAATTTCCACAGGAACACAAAATATTCCAAAAAAAAGAAAGAATGTACCGTACAAACTGATACTTTACTTTACTTTACACTGACCGAAAAGGCGTCGGCTGAAGCATAAGCTTATAATGCCTGCCTTTACAACACAACATGTGCCTTTGTGTTTTTCCTCATTGGAAATACAAAAAGAAAGTAAAAAAGAAAAAGAAAAAAACATCAGGCCGTTTATCCATTAAGGAGATACAGAAACAGAAAATTATTGGACAAATTTCAAGTATCTGACAAGAGTCTTATTTTTATATAATCTTTTAAAATGAAAGAGAGAGGTGCACTGTTTGAGTTCCTCTGTACAGTTATTCCAGAGGTCGACCCCTTTAATAGAAATGCAGGAACCCATTGTATCTGTTCTAAAATATTTTTTATTGAAAACTTCTCCTCCTCGGAGCTCATAATGGCTTTGTCTTATGTCAAAAATATTTAGCAGCGTTTGGGACAAAAGTTTGTTTTTAACTCTAAACATGATTTTTAGAGTATATAACTCTACAAGGTCATAAAATTTCAATGTTTTAAGGTTTGTAAATAAAGGATGAGTTGACTGGTTGTAATTCGAGAATGTGATGAGCCTTATTGCCTTTTTTTGATCAGGTAATCACCTGATCGAGGAGATTACAATACTATATATAACTTGGTATTTCAATTAAATAAATATATAGTTTTGATGCTAGCTTTAGTATCTATATCAGATTTGATTCGTTCACAATAATTTTCATTTGCTGTGTTTTTTTTAGCGGCTCACAGCCAGCTAACAACAGCCAGAGCAGCAGCAGCTGCCCCGGGTCAGAACGCTGCGGCCATGGAGGATGCGGACTTCAGAGGGCCTAACTGCTCTGTTGTCATCTCACACACGCATGTGTCCGCGGCATTCTGAGTGATATTATGGATACATGGGCGGGTCATTCGGACATGCTTTAAACGCGTTTTTTTAAATTTGAAAAATTTTAAAAAACGTGAGTTAACGCGATAATTTATACAGTATCTATATATAAATATATTTTAAAAATATATAGAAGGTCGTTCCAAGCTGTGAGAATAATGTGTCTTCAGGAGTTAATAGAAAAACGCTGTGATTCCAGGAGGAGTTCGAGAAGGCCATGCGCTGGTACGAGTCCACGCTAAAGCTGCAGCCTGAGTTTGCACCCGCCAAAGACCGCCTCCGGACCATCCAGTGCTACCTGCTCACCAAGAGGGACCGTCGGCAGCCCTGAGCCCTCTGGACCCCCCCTTACTGCCCCCACTTCAACCACACACTAGTCATTTGTACACAACACATTCACTACAGCTTTAACAGCCAGAACCTGCCCATCCAAATCTTTACGCTGTCATGAGGACGTTTGGGATTTGCTTTTAATTGAATTGTCTTCATTGGGTTGATTGGGGCAGAAAAAGCTGGGTATCGCGGTTTTTAAACACAGCATTGGAATAGGTTTCAAAAGGGACAATGGTGGGTGTTATTTTTGGCGCACACAAAAGTAGACCAATTGAAAATGCATGAGTCATTTTGCGTAAGCTTTTTTTGTGAACAGGTGAAAGGTTTGCACTCATTAAAGATGCAATGCGCAACTTTTTATGTGGATCAAAGGAGATTTATTTTTGCATATTTGACCCTGTGGTGAGCCTTCACTTTTGATTATAGCCTTGTTTCCACCGACCGGACTGTACTCTACTCTACTCTACCCTACTCTAGCCCTGTTTCCACCAGTCCTACTTGGCCCTACTCAACCCTACTCGACATATACTCTACTCTACCCTAAGTCTTCGCTACACGACTCTACTGTACTCTACTCTAATACGTTTATTTAAATTAGCTCAAGTATAAGGAAAGTAAATAGCCTTGGCAACAATAAGGATCAGTAATAATGATAATCTTATGGATATTGGCAACTTGGGTCTAAAGCCTAGTTTATACTCGCGCGGCGCGGACCTTAAGGAGGTGACGTGACGTGACGTCACTTGCGCAACGCGTTGGTCACCGCAAGGCCCTTACGTCGCCTGCCGCGCAGCATCGACATTTTCTAACTACGTAAGGGTCGCCGCAAGGAATCTCCGCTGTGATTGGTCCGTGTGTGTGTATTGGAAGGAAGCATGAAGCGGCTGCAGCAGGGACATGAAGGAGGCACTATGGAGCAGAGAGCTTTGTGCTTCGAAGGAAAAGCAGTTTGGGCTCAGAGCCTGATATACAGGAGACTGTGGACTATCTAACATATATATAACTTATAAACTGTGCAGTCGTTTGTTTTGCACTGTTCCTGTCTTTGTTTGAATCGTAGCTGCGTTTGTTGCTTTCCTCCTGCACTCGTAAATCGTTCATGTTTGTCTCAGATATTTACCACTATATTGTTTTGCTGTTTGTGCTGAAAACTATTTAATAATAACTATGTTTCCAACAAGAAGAGTGTCTTTATTCACAGCATCACAGTTGAAATTACTTATAAAATAATGAATCCATAAAACTATCACATAAACCTACAGTAGAAACACGTGTAATGAGCTCAAACAGCTCTGTTTGCTATTGTTGTTCTGAAGAGGACAAAGTAGCAGCGTAAATGGGACCACTCCTGTGTGATCGCCCTCATGTGGTTTGTTGTGGGATTACAACATTCTCCTCAAAACTCCGTAAGGGGAACGCGCCAGTATAACATCAATTGTGCTTACGTAGGTCCACCGCAACCGCTAACGTAAGCCACGCCGCGCAAGTATACATTAGGCTTAACTGTAAATAACACCGACTCAAATCAACCTCCCAAACTCCCCCTCTTATGGGCCTGCCATGGTTCAGGCCATAGTCACCCCCTGACTGCAGGTAACACCCACAAGCTGGAGTCTATGTGGGTGGGGTCAAATAGGTCAAATATGCAAGAATATATATATTTTTTTTCACATAAAAGTCATAAAATGTCCAATCCAGTCCTCTCTGGTTCAATATTGCCGACACACACTTGCGCTCTGTGACAGCTTTTGGAAGGGTTCTCTCTGCACTGCTTTGACGTCCGATCCCGATGAGAAGATTCGGTTAGGGAGATCCCGATGGGGAGATCCTGACGGGGACAGAGGAAGATCGCGCAAGCAGTATTTTTACAAGTACAATACAAAATAAAATGTGTTTTCGCCCATTCCTGCCTTTTTGTAAAGGAGTTGCACTGCAAAAATTTCCAGGCTGCTTGAACAAAAATATGACTCTGGATTGAATCTATCTAAATCAAATAAAAAATGCAATGTGAACAGATGCTATTTTACCATCCTGCTAACTCTTCAGAATGGAGGAACGCTGCACTAAATAAATGTATTATTATTATTGTTATTACCGTACATTCTTGACTATAAGACGCCCCTGTATATAAGCTACATCTCCTACATTTTAAAATAATGTATATTTTGTTGCCCCACCTGAATATAAGCCGCAGGTTTTTATCTACCTCTTAGACTGTTTTAACTGGAAACAACTGGATTTAATGACGAGTTGTTTAACAGCGAAAACGTTAGCCTCCACGAGTGCTATAGCTACTAAACCGTGGTGGAGTCAAAATAATAAGTCCATGAACTCTGCTCTGACAACTTTACCACAATAAAAATACACATATTTGTCACATCGCTACATAAGCCGCAGGGATCAGAGAACAAGAAAAAAGTTGGACCTTAAATGTCCATTTATAGTATTTCACACAATCCTAAAGTGAAAGGTCACCCTGAAGCAAGCACCAGTTAGACACACCCCTCCTCTCCACCGCTGCTTCCTGATTGGACAGAAAAAATGTAAATTCTTGGCCCGCTGGCGAGGAATCAACGGCTCTCTTATTGGTGGTGTTATACCAAGGAGAGGGATTATGTTAAGTGTATATATTGTTTTAGAAAAATACTTTACATGACACTAATGGGGTGAAAAAATATGCATTCATTTAAAAAAAAAGATTATAATCGGATTTGCAGACTCCACCTTGTGCACACTGGGGAAAAAATGTATTCCAATGTGGTTTTACTGCAAATGGCAAATAAATGACTCTGAATCCGAACCACCTTTTAAAGGAATAGGCCACCGTTTTTACATACTGACAGATGTTCTTACCTTACTTTAGACGAGTTGATATGAACCTGTCTGGTCTTTGTCCGTGCGCTCTGTCATGCAAACGGAGCACAAACGCAGCCTCTTCCACAGACTGTATAGTTCCAAATCAGCTCCCGTTAGAAGCTACCAAACTCTTCCAGGTGTTCCCTATTTAAATACAGTTACGTGACGTGTTACTCTACAAAGTATAGTAACACAGAAATGTAACATGTCGATTTTCTCAGTGGATAAAAAGGGGTACTATATTGTGAGGCGTAATAATACGAGGAGCACTATGAGTCACGCTGCTTCTATTGACGGAAGTGAGCGGGAGAGAAGTCTTTAGAAGTTAGTGCGCGGACGTAGTGCTCCTCGTATTATCACGCCTCACAATATAGTACCCCTTTTTATCCGCTGAAACATGTTACATTTTTGTGTTACTATACTTGGTAGTGTAACACGTCACGTAACTGTATTTAAATAGGGAACACCTGGAAGAGTTTGGTAGCTTCTAACGGGAGCTGATTTGGATCTATACAGTATGTGGAAGAGGCTGCGTTTGTGCTCCGTTTGCATGACAGAGCGCACGGACAAAGACCAGACAGGTACATATCAACTAGTCTAAAGTAAGGTAAGAACACATGTCAGTATGTAAAAACGGTGGCCTATTCCTTTAAGAGAATCTAAGTGCCTCAAACCTGCCGATATTCCAAACGCTCTCTCCTCTGGTTCCTGTTTTTACTTTATTCATTTTAATTTTCTGAGTCCAGTTGTTTTAGCTTCATATCAAGATTCCTAATGTATTAATCCACACTACATAAGTTAAACAGTGTCAAATCCAGAAACATATTGGGATTCAAGGGCTTCTATTTGGAAATGTGTAGCGTACATATTTGCAGTGCAGTAGACAGGCCATGGTATGTACTTAAAGAGTGTGATTTTACCTCCGTCTGTCTATTTGTGTGTTCTTTCATTATAGTCAAGACACGACACAAAACACCTGCTCGGTTGTTCATTTTTAAAATACAAAACATACAAAACAAATGCTTAGTAATCAAGAATTTTGATCAAACAGTATATAATAAATTGACGTGATACTGAAAACTAGTGGGGGAAATTTATTCTGTTCAGCAGTGCAATGTGCAACAACAACAAGCAGGGAGTGTGTGACTCTTACCAACGGGAATGTGGAAAATTCCCTAACCCACACGTTTCAATTGATGTTTTAAAAGGGAAGTCTGATGCACTTCCCTCAAGTTTAACAAATAAAGCTGTAAACTGCTGTGAATCTCACAATCGAGAAATTCAAGTGTGATGAATAAACATGCCGACTGCGTAATATACTTCTGTGCTACTCATGACAGTTATTCAACAGCAGAGACCAAACATACTCATATTTCAGAAAGATGTTACATGTGGAAAAACATGCAGATCTTTACAGCTTTTTAATGAGACATTACTTTGACCCCCCTTGTCCAATGTGGCGTGTCAGAAGGGAGTCAGGGTGAGGGTGGGGGGGCTAGACCATAGACTGAAAGAGAGAGGCAGACTGAACCTGGACTGAGCCACTGCACAATTTATTTAATTTCAGCATTATATAGTTGCTCTGAAGCCATTTGAAGTCTTGGGTTTAAAAAGATTGTTGACCCCTGGTTTAATCAGAATCAAAATCAGAATCTTTTTTATTGCCACGTAAGTAACAGACTTGGAAATTGCTTTGGCTCAGTGCAACAGTTAAACCATGCCTTGTTCAAATAAATCTAATCCACTTGGTGTGACCGTTTGTAAAGTTTAGTTGAGTGGGTGTTGGCATGTTTATTCATTGGCACATAATTCATACCACTGTTGACAGTTAGGCGGCAGTTAGTTAGTTAGTAGGGCGGCACGGTGGCTGAGTGGATAGAACTCTTGCCTCTCAGCAAGAAGGTCCTGGGTTCAAATCCCGGTCGGACCAGGGCCTTTCTGAGTGGAGTTTGCATGTTCTCCCCGTGTCTGCGTAGGTTTCCTCCGGGTACTCCGGTTCCCCTACCACTAAAAATATGTACAATAGATCTGGCATGCGCCTCCTGTTCGGCGACCCTGCTCCCATCTCTGTGTGGAGTGAGAGGACAAGTGCCCAAAAAAAATAATAACAATTGTAAACCACTTTGTGACCCTTGTCTGTGAAAGGCGGTATATAAATAAACATTACTTACTTACTTACTTACTTACAGTTGAGTAGTTGGAACATCCTGGAGCTGCACCAGATCATGAGATTAAACGCTTTTCTATTTGTATAACATGGCATAACAAGATAAACACACCTTCAACACGAGACGATACTGAAGGATCTACTTCTGTACTTGTGTACAACAATCATTTTTGACCAGCTGTACTCTTACTGTAGTTGTGACTAATAATACATACATGTGAGCTGTTTATGATGACGTATATAAAATGGCTCTGGAAGGCAAAAATGGCTCTGGGTAGAGAGCCCATCTGTCAATCAAAAAAAAATTTCCACCCAATCAGTAAGCAACATTTCACAAATACGGTTCCAAAAATGTGTCTTCAACCAGGGAGATGTTCATGTTGAGGAGGTCTTCTTGAGTCTGGACCTGACGGTATCCCAGCAGTCTCATGTAGTGGTGACACTCTTTCTGAGCCTGCTTCACTATGTCGATTGGAAGCTTCCGACGCCAGCTCGAGGCTATGGCAGCAGAGTCCTGCTTGGTGCTAGGTTTGTTTTTGGAGTCTATGGAGGATCCGGTGTGGTCACTTATCCACTTCTCCACACTCGAAGTCATGTTCAGACCTACAAAGTCATAGATCTCCTTTGTTTTTTGATGCGGGAACCTGGCAAGGTCTTCATAGCGCAACAACATGTACCTACAGGAAGAGAGGGAGGAAAATGAGGACTTGGCCAGAGAGAAAGGCAAAAAGTACATGGGACTACGGGCGGATAATAGCTCTTGACAAATGCACATTTCCCTTTGAGATTAATGTTTATTTTACACTTTCCCAGTCACTTTTAATAGATAAACTCAAATAAACAATGATTTTTGTTCAACGTTGACCTGAGATGTGTACTGAATACAAAAGCCCAAAGTGTCAAGTAGAGGCTCTTTTTTGCGTACTGTGGTTTATGTTGTGACTGACGACACTCCATTCCCACTGCTTTCTGAACAAAGTGTCCTGCAAAACTTCTTTGTGGGCATTTGTTATGGTTGTCTTAATTAGAGCCCGGTTTAACAAGTACTTGTGCAAATCTTTTCTTCTGTGGCTGGCGAAACAAGGCAAATTTTGTGCCAAATAAAAAACAGGCCTTCTATCAATTACTACACCAATCCATTGTCAAGTTTGGCCTCTTTGGAAAGTGATAATCCCTCCATTTCTTTGGTAGATTCATTAACCAATATTGGCGCACACACACACACACACACACACACACACACTGGGCCTCTCCCATCTGCGACATCACATCTGCTCATTGCGCTCTGACTGCAGTTGGAATTTGTTATTCAGCTGTGTTGGTGGTGTGTAAGTTACAGTAGTTAATAGAATAGACCGATTCCATTTGCCGTACAAAATACTTTTTGAGATCTGATCTAATTCTGGATTCACACCTGTTTAGTCTAAGTCTAGTTCTGAATTAGACCCCACCATGAACTACACATTCTTCTGCAGTCTGAGTAAGTGGTTTGGGAATGGGCATATGCTGCTTCTTCTTGACTAAATTTAGTGAAAGAGTAAACTGTCCTACTTCAGCCCTGGTTAAGTCGTGTTTTAGTGCTGGGGGAATCGCTGGTTCAATCCTGGATCAGTACCTGTCCCTGAGCCACTCGGGCTTGCTCAGTGCGGTGGTCACTGAGCCGTACAACTCCTCACAGGTGGAGTTGAACTGTGGAGGGTGGATGTCCAGGGACTCTGGTCTTTGGCCTGTGGTCTTCCAGGTGTGCCAGGCTTTGTACCAGCCGGAGAAGATGTCGATCCGGGAGTTCAGAATCCCTCGAGGGTCGCGCACCAGCTGGATCACCTTAATGTTGAGGCGAGGATCCTCTAAGAGGGGGCGCAAGTTGTCCACCACCACTATTCGCACCTGAAACAATAAGTGTACAATGCGTTTTAAAGTGACTGTAAATGAATTAGACATTTTAAGGATTGTATCAAATTGACCTAATCGCCTTAAATGTTGATAATAAGTCATTTTATTAATTATAATAATACGGCCTTCCCTTATTTTAGCTATAGCTCAAAATCCACGATGCCGTCCATTTTAACCAATCAAGTGATGCCAAGGGCTTGCAATCATCGTGCTCGTATATAATTTGAATATTAAATATATATACAGTATATTCAAACAAATATTAGACAGCCCTTAATATTCAAAACTGTATTGGGCATTATCTTTTTTAAATGATACACATAAAATAATTAGTTCCCAAATGTTTCGCCTGACGTGGCCAGACGGGTAACAGCTAGGCTAGCTAACTAACTAGAACTACATCAGTGGTGAGAGACCCAAATATAAACTTAACCTAAATCCATAATGAGATCCTCTCCAAATGTGTCCAAATGTTAATAGTTACTTCCGGGTTTACTGCGATCGCTTTTTGACGCATGAAAACAGTATTTTTGTTATGAAAACGTTAATAGATAATTCTGAAAACCACCGTGATAATGTGTTAAGAATGTATATGTATAATATATTCTCTGATTAATATTTAAATGTGTCTATTGATTGATATTTGTGTTATTGAGCGTGGCTAGCTTCGATAGCTTCTCTCGCTCAGACAGAAGTAATAAGTGACAGGCGCTGAAACCAAGTGTGCGAATTACTTTCTGGAGTAATCTTAGTATTTTACACACAGAGTGTGTTGCTAAAGGGCAGCGACCATTATTGGTTTGAGTAGTCTGCAGCACTGGGGCCCCTCAGGGCACTGTCCTCTCACCATTTCTCTTCACCATCTACACTTTAGACTTCACATACGACCCACACAGCTGTCACCTGCAGAATTTTTCCTACGACGCTGCTCTAGTAGGCTCTGTGTCCGAGAGGAACAAACTGGAATACCAGGCGGTTGTCATGGACTTTGTCGACTGGTGTGACCGCAACCCCTTGTGCTTGAACACCAGTAAGACCAATGAGATGGTCATCGACTTAAGGAGAAAACCACAATCCCACACGCCGCTGAACCTCCATGGGGAGGACATTGAGCCGGTGGACAGAGCCTTCATCCCCACCGCTGTCAGACTGTACAATAAGTCGCTAATGACGTGCACTAGGACTGCCTGCCATGTGTCATGTCATGTCATTTTCTACCCCTTTATTATTCAATTTCTGGGTCGGGGGGTTGGCAATCAGGGCTGCCACCCAAGTCTAGCACCAGTCCCTCGCTGAACCTACTGCAGGTGGTGGGTCCACGGGAAGATGGCTTCTCTGTCATCGACTAGATGGCCTTGGTCTTTCAGCAGGGGCTTAAGTGTTTTGCCCAGCGACACAACGACAGCAGACATCAGTGGGAACATGTGACATGGGTCATAGTGGGCTCGGGTCCAACCATTGGATCCAAAGACCAGTGCTTTACCAACTGAGCTACTGTCGCCCCACTGCTATTGCCATTGTACAAAATCTGTTTTGCAAAAAAGGGACTACATATTTTTCACCTTCAACATGTTTGCACACTTTTCTTTTTGCACAACCCGAGTGATAAAATCTATATCAAATGTGACATGTAAATTTCTCCATTGTGAGATCAATACAGTTTATCTTAATCTTCATGACATGGATCATGGAATGCTTGAAGTTGTAGGACTTTAATGGGGAGGTGGAAGGCCAATGGGAAGCTGATTGCACAAGTGACCATCAAATGTGGAATCTACCAAGGAGGTGCTCTCCCCTGTTCTTTTCTGCAGAAAGCCAAGGGACAGGGACATAAGACTCCCTGAAGACCAAGGAGATTTCCACAGATGTCACTCTGCCTCCAGCCCCAGTGAACATCCAGGGATGGGATATTGAAAGAGTGGACTTACAAGGGCCTGGGTACTTGTACTGGACTCATAACACAGACGCTTTCTTCAAGAAGGGTCAGTGCTGACTCTACCTGCTGAGGAGGCTAAGGTCTTTCGGAGTGCAGGGACCACTCCTGAACTCACTCAGTCACTCAAAGCCGCGTACTCAAAGTAGTATCACATTCTGCTAACAAAGTATAGAGTTGTGTATTTGACAACCTTATATAATTCTTTTAACATTGCCTTGACCCTTTGAGTGAACGCACCGTCTTGTAGGCCACATGGCTCCTGGTGCTGCAGAACTCGCCAGCCCTGGTCAGGTTGATGGGGCTACACTGGCCGCACTGGCCCTCGGCCCACTTGTCGGGGTTGGTGGGCTTGCAGACGGGGGTGCGGCACAGGGCCCGGCTTGAGCCCCAGAAGAACAGGCTATCCACCATGTGGTTGGATGGAGGGGGCCGTAGGTATCTCTCCAGGGCATGAAGGTCACACTGGAACAGGCTCCACAGAAGGTCTCGACTGGCCCCCGCGATCACCTGAGTAGAATCACAGGAAATATATTGATCTTTGTTCATCTACTGAACTATTTCCCAAAAAAAAGCACTGTCCCGAGTTTAATTCATCTCCAGGGGACTTAAAGGGGAGGGAGAACTGAAATCTCAAAAAAGTGTCCATTAAACTTCAAAGGGAAGTCAGAATTATGACTTTAAACATTTATTAGAAACTAAATGTGTTTTGTTTCTAATGTTGAATACATTGTAAATACAGAAGAGCGGGGCAATGTGGCAAAAACGTGAAAAAGAGATGGAAATATCACAATAACTATATAGTTCACAATATAAATAGCGCTGGAAAAAATTCTCAAAACGCACACTTTATTAAAAGATAGCTACATAATAAATCTGTGTTATTGCTCTCAACTTTTCACTATATATAGAGAGAGATATATCGGCATGTTGATATTAAAGCATTCACAGCTAGCTAAGAAAAGTAACAGCCACTTATTTTGTATATTTGATGTACTCCCTGTGTGCTCTTACTACTTTCATTTATGTGCGCTGCAACATTGAAATTTCCCCACTGTGGGACAAATAAAGGATCTTTTATCTTATCTTATTATTGGACTTTGTCACATCTTTAGATCAGATAGCGTGTTTTATAGAGCATGTGGTGGGCTGATTTGTTAACAATTCACAAGACTCCCTCTGTTGTTACAGACAGATGTTTTTCTGAAACCCTAAAACAATAGTTGGGTATTCCAGCTTTAATGCATCTGGCCACAGCGGCTGTCACATCTCTGTGTGTGTTAAAGGGTTTTCCATTCAAACGACTTCAGAGGAATCTATGCTAGAAGCTGGAAGGTTTATAGCAGAGGTGTCAAACTCATTTTGGTCCATAGCTAAGTTTACAAACATAAGATCTGGTTGGAACCAAAAGTGTAAAAGTTAATTATTCATTTTTAACACTTTTTTGTATTTCATTTAATTTGTATGGATTCAATCACAACAGGGCCAAATAGAAAATAATAATGAAATGAAAATAATCACAATTAAGTAAAATTAAAAATAATCTTTGCCTAACTTAACTTCTAATTACATGCTAACATTTTAGACCAGATTTAAGTATATGGTTGTTTTCCTGTGAACATTAGACTGAACATTACTGTACCATCAATGCTGCAAGTTACGATTAAAGACATCCTTTATTCGTCCCACAGTGGGGAAATGTATCATTACTGTAATAATGATAATTGAAAATCATTTCAGGGGCCTCCAAAAAATGTCCTGCGGGCCAGATTTGGCTCACGGGCCGGAATTTGACATGCCTGGTCAAAAATTGTGTTGGTTACCACCCACACATTTTATAGGAGGATCTTGGAGTGACGTTGTTGTTTATAGTTTTTCCGCGGCGGTCAGGTGACCGGGTGGCAGTACAGCATAGAAAGTTACCTGGATGCTAGAGAGAGACTATTTTTAAACGCTTGGAGAGAGGTTTTACTAAATCAAATGGTCCATTCTTGTTGTGTGGTCGTTTGTATGGCCCGCTGGGGACAGAGAACGTTTTTTTTCGAATTATTTCGGAAAAGAACAGCGAAAAACGGCAGCGGTAAAGTGGTTGCCCTTTTATGCTGTTACCTACGGTAAACGTAGAACGGGAAGCCAGGGGGATGAGAGGGTAAAAATTCATAAACAAATTTCAAGTTTTGCAACTACTTTCATTGCGCACTTGTTCACTCATTCATTGACTAATTTTAAACATTGCATTTTGGTTGCTCATCCCCGCAGCTTCTTGTTCTACGTTTTTCGCAAGTAACAGCAAACGGGGGCAACCCGCATTTAATGTGCGGCCCACTTTTTCCGCGACAGCGAAATGCCGGGCCACTTTACCGCGGAGAAAAACGCAAGAAACAGATTTAAGATAAGATGTACTTTATTAATCTTACACAGAAGAAATGGACATCTGATACAGCGACCGCATCACTGCGCACGCTGCACCGATCCGCCAGTCAATCGCACGCTCCATCCTTCCCTCACTCGTGAACAAGACCCCGAGTTACTTGAACTCCTCCACTTGAGGAAGGACCTCTCCACCCACCTGGAGAGGGCAAGGCACCTTTTTCCGGTCAAGCACCATGGCCTCAGATTTGGAGGTGCTGATTCTCATCCCAGCCGCTTCACACTCGGCTGCAAACCGTCTCAGAGCATGTTGTAGGTCCTGGTTCGTTGGAGCCAACAGGACAACATCATCCGCAAACAGCAGAGATGAAATCCTGTGGTCCCCGAACTGGACCCCCTCCGGCCCCTGGCTGCACCTAGAAATTCTGTCCATAAACACAGTGAACAGAACCGGTGACAAAGGGCAGCCTTGGCGGAGGCCAATATGCACCGGGAACAGGTCAGACTTACTGCTGGCAATGCGAACGCAGCTCTGGCTCCGGTCATACAGGGACCAGACGGCCCTCAGCAGAGGACCCCGGACCCCGTTCTCCCGGAGAACCCCCCAAAGGACACCCCGGGGAACACAGTCGAACGCCTTCTCCAAATCCACAAAGCACATGTGAACAGGTTGGGCGAACTCCCATGAACCTCTTGAGTATGGAGAGTATAAAGCTGGTCCAGTGTTCGACGACCGGGACGAAAACCACACTGCTACTCCTGAATCCGAAATTCGACAATCTGTCGTAACCTCCTCTCCAGTACCTTGGAGTAGACCTTACCGGGGAGGCTGAGGAGTGTGATCCCACCATAATTGGAACACACCCTCCGATCCCCCTTCTTGTAGAGAGGGACCACCACCCTGGTCTGCCACTCCATTGGCACCGCCCCCGATCGCCATGCGATGTTGCAGAGACGTGTCAGCCAAGACAGTCCTACAACATCCAGAGACTCAAGAGTCAGGACGGATATCATCCACTCCCGGCGCCTTGCCACCATGGAGGCTACCAACAACCTTGGTGACCTCAGCCAGGGAGATAGAAGTATCCGCCCCAACATCCTCAGCCTCTGCTGAGTTCGTGATGGACAAACTGTGACTAGCACAGAAGTCCAACAACTGAACACCGCTCAAGTTCAGATTAGGGGGGCCGTTCTTCCCGATCACCCCTCTCCAAGTGTTACTGGCATTTCCCACATGGGCGTTGAAGTCCCCCAGGAGAATAACGGAGGTCCCGGGCGGTGCACTGTCAAGTACACCTCCCAAGGACTCCAAGAAGGCCGAGTACTCTGCACTGCTGTTAGGCCCGTAGGCTGTCACAACAGTGAGAGACTTGTCCCCCACCCGAAGGCGGAGGGACGCGACCCTCTCATTCACCGGGGAGAACTCCAACACGTGGCGGCTGAGATGGGAGGCAATGAGTATGGCCACCCCCGCTCGCCGCCTCTCCCCGCGAGAAACACCAGAAAAGTGGAGCGTCAAACCCCTCTCAAGGAGTTTGGTTCCAGAGCCCAAGCTGTGTGTGGAGGTGAGGCCGACTATCTCTAGTCGGTATCGCTCAACCTCCCCCACGAGCTCGGGCTCCTTTCCCCCCAGTGAGGTGACGTTCCACATCCCAAGAGCCAGATATTGGGTGTGTGGACTGGGTCGCCGAGGTCTCCGCCTTCAACTGCTGCCCAGTCCTCTCTGCACCTCGCCACCACGGACCCCTCTGCAGGTGGTGGGGCCACAGGACGGACTGCCCACGTCGACCTTTCGGGCTGAGCCCGGCCGGGCCCCATGGGCCTCTAACATTGTTGTATTGTTGACGGTGCAATAAAAGTGTGTGATTATGTTCAACATGGATTTTCTTTTTGAGGAAACAGTTTTTAGACCTCTCTAATGAAGTTCGAGTTCCCGGTGAGAGAGTCCTGGATGTGGTAAAGTGGCTCCAACAGGTAGAAGACGTCTGGGTGCTGGTTCAGGAGCTCCCCGAGGAAGCTGGAACCACAGCGGGTGGACGTCAGGATTAAGACGTGTGTTTGACGAGGGTTTGTCAGCTGCTCCTCAATGCCCAATCTGCCCAAAGGAAACCCAAAAAAATGATCAAACTATCATTTTGTTTCGAGATCTCGGCTGGAACTGCATCAATATAGCTCAGAAAATCAAAAAAGTGTAGTGTCTCATGCACACAATCCTGAACAAAAACAAAACAATTCCTTCCTCAGTGCAAATCTTAAAGTGCTGTAAACTTCCTAAAAAAATAGCAATGCATCTAACAGCATTTTTTAACTTCACCTTGTGACAGTCCAGTTTGGGGAATCTCTCTCCCTTCATCATAAGATTACCTTAACCGAAATGTATTTATTTATTTATATACAGGATTATTCATCTTCATCTTGTGCTCCACTATTCTGGTTCATAAATGTGATTCCCAGGCGTGTTCTACACAGTGAAACGGTTTGAGGTTCTTTCATCCAGAAGATGAATCTAAGCCATTTACTTGGAGTGAGCGGGGCACAGGCAGTGTTCGGGAGGGGCCAGTAGATTTATGATTGTGTATTGAGTGGTCATTAAGCCAAACGCAATAAGCACCAGCGACTTCCAGGAGATGAACATGGCGACAGCAGCTGGATCAAGGAAGAACACAGCAGACAAGTCAATCAAGTGGTTGGCCAATGTTCTTTTCACCAACGTTAGTCACAGGTGGAATAAAGTACTTACTTGGAGTTTGAGGACCTTAAGTTTCAGTCGGAAATGCTTTCAAACCTGTGAAATATTAGAGATCAGTATATAGCCAGCAAGTCGTTCGTATTCAAAAATAACTATGGTAGATAAGAAAATTAATCCACATTCAAGTGAATAGAAAATAATGATGTCATAACTTAGTTTAGTAGTTGATGTTTATGTTAATGCTGATACTTAACTACAATCGAACCTGAACCAAATCGCACACACAAAAAGACATCGTTCTGGCATTCTTTATTCTTGGTTGCCGTCCAAGGAGCCATGTCTTTTAGAGAACAGAGCTCCAGCAGCTCAGCCTCTGTCCAGAGCATGTCTGACCTCGGATAGTCAAAACTCCTTTTTGCTAGACCACAAACCACACCTTCACCTCCACACATAATCATACAGTCTCAAAATGGGACTTTTTGATGATATATGATATTTCCATATTAACTATCACATAACAGGAAGCAGGAAACAGAGAAACAATGGCATTGCCAACGAGCCCAGCCGGGGAGCATCTGCATATAACCCAAGCCCCGGCGATCCAAGATGGCGCCCTATTCAAATGAATGGCTTGTGCTCAGCAGCGCATGGGACTTCATGGAGACCGGGAGATTAGCTGAACTCGCCTATATTTGGGCATCGTCTGGTCCTCCCGGTTCTGCGCAGTGGATTAGCGCAACGTGTGTATGTGGCTTTCATGCACGCGCACAGAGGGGCTCGGCCGCGCTCTGACCAATCAGAGCTGATCATCAGTGCAGCGGAAAGCGGAGCCAGAGAGGGAAGGAAAGGAGCAGAGTTTGTGGCAGTAAAGTGTGTATTTAAAGAAAACCGAAGGATTTAAGAAGAAAAAAAGTTCAGGATGACAAGGGACACTAAAATCCCCACAAAATCCGATCTTTATGAAAGCTGTAGGCTGAGGTCGTCCTGTTTTAATATACATTGATTTCTATGAGACTTTTTTCTGGGTAGCCCTCGTGAATTTAGTCTGACTCTGCAGTACCACGGGCGCCCCCTGTGCCCATGGGTGGGACAGCTTTAAGCTAGTAATACCCTATCCAGTTATTATTATAGATCCATGATATAACCCCTATGCCCTGGAGCCAAGCTGAATTACAAAACAATCAGTATAAGCCACATATGACTTATAAACATGATAATTTAAACAACATTCTAATGTCTGTTTAGCTTTTTAGAAGCAAAAAAAGTCAATGATAACACACCTATGTATAATTGTATTATATGTGCCATGGTAAAAGAATGTATACAGTAGTCCCTTGTTTATTGCGGGTTTATGTTCTGGAAATAAATATATATAAAGGCTTTAAAGGCTTTAACAGCACACTTTTCTATGCACCTCTTGACTGCGGACAATAGTGGAGATCAAACCTGTTTGATCAAACCTGTTTGTTGTGTGTCATCTGAGCAATGTGCATAATACACGAGCCACAAAGGTTTTGACCTGATATAAAAGGTAACTACCAGTGGTTAGATGTTGGAGTTCTACACTGCAAATAGTAGATGAAAAATAAGTCAATAAAATTCTCAAATTTGGCTAAAAATCATCTTCATTTGATTACATTTTTACTGCTTTGAAACAAGATTTGCGATAGGACAAAGCGTATTACCTTGTTTAAGAGAGTCAGAATGTACTAAAATTATGACAAAAATACTTGATTCAAGAAAATATTATCATATTTTATCAGCTTTTGCTGTGTAGAGCTATGGTCATGACGGCCAAGGAGAGGTTAAAGTGGCCATACTTGCATATGAAAGCCAGATCCCAGACCTCTGAAGCTGTGCAGGCAGAGCCTGGTTAGTACTGTGATGGGAGACCTCTGGGAGCACCAGGTGTCACGGGGGGGACAATAAAGTTACAAACTGTCATTGTGTCCTTGGGCAAGACACTTCACCCACATTGCCAAGAATGAGTCTGGTGTGTGTGTGAATGGTTTGTGGTTGCAAGAGGCACAGACTGGGTTTCTCACTTCTGTCAGTGTGCCCCAGGGCAGCTGTGGCTACAGTAGGTTTATCACCACCGTGTATGGAGTGAACGAATAATGACATGTGAAGCGTCTTTGAGCGTCCAAAAAGCACGATTTTAAAACCAACGCATTAGTGCGTTGGTTTATTATTGTACAGTATTAAATTGTGGAGAAGTCTCAAGCATGTTTAGGTTATACAAATAGTACAGTTTATTCCAAGATCTACTCTCACAACAACCATTGAGCCGTGATCAACCTCAGATTAATGTGGGAGTGTCATGAAGCAAATGTGATTCATGATGAAGTAATGACCATTTTGTCTGTATTCCTGGCTCAGAATTTTTTTTTTTCAGGATTTAAGCAAGTTTCAGATTTGTCAGAAACACTCACATCTTGTTTAATACTGTCTATTTTGACTTTGCACAATGGGAATTGTAAAAAGTGATGACAAACAAGTGGAGAATTGCTCAAATCTGGCTACAATGCTTAATTTGAAGCATTCTCGGACTGCCTCAAAACAAGATTTGCCAATAGGACAACGCAAGATGAAGACATGTCTCCCTTGGAATGAGAACACGAAGCAACAGTTCTTGAAATAAGACTAAATGGCTTTGTCCCATTGGAGAATCTTGTTTTAAGACAGTGAATGTACTGAGATTAAGATAAAACCAACTCAATTGAGGCAATTACTCTCATATTTTATCCTTCTTTATGTTGAGAATGTACTTTCAACACACTTTCACTCAACAATTGTCAGTTACTTTGTCGAGGTCTTTCTCAGTGAACTAAATAAAAAATCTGTTGCTTTTGGAAAGTGAACTAAGCAGAACACTTTCACAAGGCACAACACTTTTACATCTGTGTCCAAAATCTTTCAAATACAACTTGAGGTGATGTGGAATCTAAAACAAAACGGCCAAATTTGATATAAATTTAATTGATGGTTGATATACAGTGTCATTATGTGCCATTTTCATTTTTAGCTCCTCCTCAAAAAATATTCCAAAAACGACCTGACAAATCACAGGAATGTGTTCTTGAACTAATATAACACATTCCTATGAGTTCAAGAAGGTCATAGGATTGTGTTTTTTTTTTTTTACTTATTTATATCATTATACGAATAATAGTATAGTAGACAATAATACTAATAATCCAAATTACTGAGGCTGTGTCTTCAAATTCGTGTCTATGTCTATCAAATTTAAAACGTGCCCATTCCCTTCCTTTTAATAGTAATAAAACTGTCTTACCTGTGACACACAGTCGTCCTGGAGGTTCACAGTCTGTCATGCTGCAGACTCAGATCTGAATACATCCACCTCCTGTACATTAGCACCTCCCAACATCTCTGCGCTAGTCACTCTGAGACCTCGTTATACAGTGGAAAACAGTCTCTTGATGAACACCAGCACAAATGTACTGTTTACAGGATGCAGTGTTGTGCGTGAACCAGTTCAAAAGAACGCGTTCATTGAACACGCTCATTTTTTCGTGAACGTTGAACTGAACGCAACACATAAAAAAAAAAAGAACTTGAACGTGAATTAGTTCATTTTATGTGTCATGAACGGCAGACATCACTATGAACGTTGGAATCTGTTTTCTCTTTTGAAACGCAACGAGAGAAAGTTCCTCCCTCCTGTATTCTCGCACTTTTTTCGCAAAATCTAAAAATTCCTACGGTTTCCACCGTCTGTGAACGCATCCCGACTCCGTGTTGCGGTGCGGCGCTGTGAGCTGGTGCTTTTCACATGTGCCCGAGTCGTGATGAAAACACAGGGTGAGATAGCGACAAAGTTTACACATATATGTATATATATACATATATATATATATATATATATATATATATATATATATATATATATATATATATATATATATATATATATATATATATACCACACCAGACAAGACCCAAGGTGTCGGTTGTGCAAAGAGGCACCTGAGACAATCCAACACATAACTGCAGGGTGCAAGATGCTGGCAGGGAAGGCCTACATGGAACGCCATAACCAAGTGGCTGGCATAGTGTACAGAAACATCTGTGCAGAGTATGGGCTGGAAGTATTGGTCTAAGTGGGAAACTCCTCCAAAGGTGGTGGAGAATGAGCGTGCAAAGATCCTGTGGGACTTCCAGATACAGACCGACCGAATGGTAATGGCGAACCAACCTGACATCGTGGTGGTAGGCAAAGGGCAGAGGACAGCCGTGGTGGTGGACGTGGCAATTCCAAGCGATGGTAACATCCGGAAAAAAGAACATGAAAAGCTTGAGAAATACCAAGGTCTCAGAGAGGAGCTGGAGAGGGCCTGGAGGGTAAAGGTGACAGTAGTGTCCGTGGTGATCGGTGCACTCGGGGCAGTGACCCCGAAGCTGGAAGAGTGGTTACAGCGGATCCCCGGAACAACCTCGGACATCTCGGTCCAGAAATGTGCCGTGCTAGGAACAGCAAAGATACTGCGCAGAACCCTCAAGCTCCCAGGCCTCTGGTAGAGGACCCGAGCTTAGAGAGGGATAACCGCCCACGGAGGGCCAAAGGTGAGTGGAAATTTTTTTTTATTTTATATATTGATAATGCTGTTTAAACTACAGTTGAACCTGATGAAATCTCACACAACAAAGAGACAAAGTTAATCTTTTACTTGTTACATTTTACAAGGAGAATGTCTTGACAGAAGCAAGGGCACAGACCCCAGCCTCTCTCAGGACAAGTCTGAAGATTCACAGATGGCAAGCCCCTTTTGGTACGGCAAGACACACACACTTCGTATGCAGATGTGAAAGGAAGAAACCAACACAACCAAAGGCACTTAGCATATGAGCTCCCCAGACCTCCCGGTGTCTTCCTGAAGCTAAAGTGAATTACAATACAGACCATTTAGCACATAGCCACATATGATTTACCAAAATGATAACTTAAGTTATATTCCAATAACATATATATATCCTATATATAGGATATATATTTAGCTCGTAGTGTGAAAAAAAAGTATTGTTATAGAAATCTTACTGGGATTATAAATCAATTTAACTTAAGAATGAATCTAATGATAAAATGGGATATCTGGGACAAAGTTCAAAGCCAGTAAATCTGTTGAAACTAACTAAACTGTTGTTCTGTAGGGACGCGAGGCCAATGACGGGGTGGAGGCAGATACGAGAGGGATATCAGGGGCAAGAAGAGCGGGCTCACCGGTCATACTGACAATTCTTCCTAATATCAGAGTAATATCAGAGTAAGACGTCAGAAGAGAGGGGGGTTTGGGCAATAGCTGCCACTTAATCTCGGACTCAGAGACGCCATAGATAGACTCTTCTGTTTGTTTCATCCTATAAATATGAGAGAGAATGAGCACTATTCAGCAGATCTACCCGAGACCTGCCACGCGGTTACACGGTTGTATTTCCTGTATATGTATACATTTACTGAGATAATAAACCACACTTTGATTTGAATTACAGCTCTTGTTGTTTATTTTATATTTAATATTGTGTATTTCGCTCCTTAGAAATTCCACAACAGTATTTATTTGACTATTTCACAAAAAAAGTAAAATGAACTGAACTTTGAACTAGTTCAGAATTAAAATTGTGAACTTTGAACGTGAACTGTTCACTTTGAGCATGTATGAACTGAACTGAACTTGAACTAGTTCAGAAAAGCTGTGAACTGGCACAACACTGACAGGATGCTGCAGCAGTAAAACGTTAGGCACTGCATTGGCCTTTTGTTTACATGAAGACAGTGTTTCACAGGGTGGAACAGAACAGATATGCTGCGCGGCGGGGGCTGTTTCACAGCTGTGTGAAGAAAAGGCTGTGAATTCTAAGACTGCAATGACCTCACCACTTCCACTATAAGTCTTCATAACCTCACGTCGCCCAATCTATCAGATCCACTCAAACCATACACTCCTCCCGCTCCTGTGCTCTACAGGGAGGAGGGCATTCAGCTGCCCCTGTCTGAACCGGCCCTACTCTGAACAAGCCCTCCCCTGAACCAGCCCTACTCTGGACTAGCCCTCCTCTGGACCAGCCCTACTCTGGACCAGCCTACCTGTGAACCAGGCCATAGACTCTTCCTCTGTTTAATCCCATCTGAATTTACACCTGTGTTTCAGAATGAGCAGAGTCTGGTTCTAGCACTAGTTTTCACATGAGAATCAATCAGCCTTTTCAGACAAAAATGTGAAAAAAAAAAATATTTAGATGAAGACAAAATTAGAATCAGAATCATTTTTATTGCCACGTAAGTAACAGGAGGTCACAGACTTGGAAATTGCTTTGGCTCAGTGCAACAGTTATTCTAAGGAATACATTTAAAATTAAAATTAACAATTAAAATAAAGTTACAATTACTATATACAATATACAGTGCACATGGTGCACAGAATGTAAGTTGACAGCAGTACAGTGAAGTAAAGTGAATGATGGGCAGTGAAGTGACATTATAGAGCAGTAGGGGACTTCTAGAGGGCGGGGGGACAGGTTAAGAAGTGTTCAAGAGTCCAACAGCAGAGGGGAAGAAACTGTTCTTGTGGCGGCAGGTTCTAGTCCTTTTGGACCGCAGTCTCCTGCCTGAGGGGAGTGGTTGGAATAGTCCATGTGCAGGGTGAGAGGGGTCGGCTGTGATACAACCAGCCCGGCCTCGAGCTCGGGCGACGTACAGGTCCTGCAGCGATGGAATGCTGCGGCCAATCACTTCCTCTGCAGAGCGCACAATGCGCTGTAGTCTCTGTTTGTCCCTGACTGTGGCTCCAGCGAACCACACGGTGATGGAGGAGGTGAGGATGGACTTGATGATGGCCGTGTAGAACTGCACCAACATCTGTGCAGGCAGCTTGGCTTTCCTGAGCTACCGCAGGAAGTACATCCTCTGCTGGGCCTTCTTGATGAGGGAGCTGATGGTCGGCTCCCGCTTGAGGTCCTGGGTGATGGTGGTGCCCAGGAAACGGAAGGACTCCACAGAGGTGATGGGGGAGTCCATCACGGAGGGTGGGGGCGGGGGGACAGTGCTCTTCCTGAAGTCCACAATCATCTCCACTGTCTTCTGGGCGTTCAGCTCCAGGTTGTTACCACTGCACCAGGACACCAGCCGGTCCACCTCCCTCCTGTAGGCGGACTCATCGTTGTTGCAGATGAGTCCAATGAGGGTGGTATCGTCCGCGAACTTGATGAGCTTTACGGAGTCGTGGCTGGAGGTGCAGTGGTTGGTGTACAGGGAGAAGAGCAGGGGAGAAAGAACACAGCCCTAATCCGAGAGTCCGAGACATTCTTCCCCAGACGCAGACCCACAATGTCGTGGTCTGAACATCTAACTTTTACAAGACTTTCTAAAGTGTGATACTATAGTTTAACCTTGAAAAACATTTGCACACCGTGATAATGGAAAACAAGATAACACATTAAATAGATAATGTAAATGTACAATCATATGGTGCATTTTTTTGCTGAATGCACGAACACCTGTTTGTGTGCGGGCAAACCACTCTTACTTGGGTAAGTATAATACATATTTCTTGTAAAGCTTCTTTTTTTAGCCAAACAAATCTTGACATAACTCATTCACTCTGGGTTCACTCTGATGAACTACTGATATAGCCACAGCTACCATGGGGGATACTGACGGAGGCAAGGCATCTCATCTCTGCAATCAGCCCCTCCGACTACCACCATCATTCCGATTCACACGAGGCAGAAGGAACCAGGAGATAATCAAAAAGTGTTATCCTGTTTTAATCTTTTACCTCTTTAGACTATCCTTTTGCTCTGGTTATTGTTTTAGTGATGAAATTGTTTTGTTTGTTTTGTTTTTGGTAACACGGTAGCTGGGTGGTTAGCCCTCTCACTACTCAGCTGGAATATCCTGGATTTAAATCCTGATCGGAACAGGGCCTTTCTGAGTGGAGTTTGCATGTTCTCTCCATGCCTGCATAGGTTTTCTCTGGGTGTTCCGTCTTCCCCTACCGCTAAAGACATGTACAATAGGTCTGAGTGGGTTGAATGGAAGTTTAGATGCACCAGTGTGTTCGAAGTCTTGCTTCCGTCATCACCGTGTGTGAATGGAAAAACCGCTTTGGCCTTGGTCAGTAAAATGCACAAAACAAATAAACATTACATACTTACTTTCTTTTATTTTCTACTGGCTCTTTTTAGTTACATCCTTCTCTAGAGCTATTTTGAAGTAGTCTATCCTTCTGCAATCTGCTATGAACCCCAAGTATGAAGATGACAAGACATTCAATTTGAGTCACACCCTGCATCGAAATCCCTCACAGAGAGTGCCATCAATATTTGGCCTGGCATGTGTCCAGAAAATGTATTGTAGCATCCACGGGCAAGCCCTATGAAGATGAAAAGACAGACATCCATTCATTGACTGCACCCAAATCAAATCCATGACGCTCAAGTCCTGATTTGACTGGTTAATTATCATCAAAAGACAGACATTATGAAGATGACAAAAGAGGACAATTGCACGCACACACACGATTTATATGATCATCCAGTCAGTCCAGTGTTTCAGGCCAATTGGATGGTTGTCAAAATTTGCAACCCAACAGGTTTCTCTTCCCACACATACTGTACACACCCAAGGGAGATATTTCTAGTATCATTATAAAACAAGATTTTTCACCTTTTCCCGTGTGGGTTTAGTGTCTTGCCCAAGGACTCACAGCAGCAATTACCAATGGGAGCTGGTTTCACTCGTGCTACACTTGAGCTTGTAAGGACACAGCAGTAGTACTACAAGTCCATCCATCCATTTCTGGGTCGGGGGGGGGGGGTGGCAGTCAGAGCTGCACCCAGTACACAGAGCACCAGCCCCTCACTGGTCCTCCTGCACGTGGTGAGTCCGCAGGAGCTGAGATCTTTCAGTTGGGGCTTTGGGCAAAGTAGGGTTAAGTGTCTTGCCCAAGGACACAACGACAGCAGTCATCAGTGGGAGTCATAAAGTAGGTCTTACAGTGGGCTCAAACCCATGACCTTCAGGCCCAAAGGCCAATGCTCTACCAACTGAGCTACTGTCGCACTACAAGTCATTTACGTAATAATCTGTACAGATGACACCATAATGAACAGAGATTCCCTGAACCAAAAAAGACAAGAAGAACTAATCAACAAAATAAACTGAACAGGAGGAGACAATCCCTTTGTCTGGGAAAAGAATACTTTATTTTATTCAATTCTTTCTTGTATAGCCCTAAGCCATTGAATTTGCCAACATAGATCAGTGTTGAATGGCCTTGATCACCACTGTCCCTTTTGTTAGACTGCATGACCAAACTGTGTTGTATGATAGAAACGTATAATTGTGTCCCAAAATACTTTATGTATTAGAATGAACCAAAGTAATGGGATAAATATTCTCATGATATATCTTACCCAAGTATAATTACAGCATCATGTTTTCAACCATAAACAACCATTGTTCACACAAGTATCAGATAACTCTGAAAGTAAAATGACTCTGTTAAGATCCTAAAAATAGAGTAGTGCAAAGAAGGTCAAGTATTTATGCAGAAGGCCAAGGAGACAGGGGTCAGGGATGAAGGCCAAGGAGACAGAGGTCAGGGGTAAAGGCCTGTGGTGTATCACTCAAATAATTATCACACATGTGCATAGGACGGACTGTAAAACATGAAGAAGAGCGTAATGTAGAATCTTTAAAGTATCGTTAAGTTATACCAAGATTTCACAATATTTGAAAATCTCACAGACCACAGACCAGTCCAATCAGTCGGGGCGGGTCCTGCCCAAAAAGTTCATGAGGATGACTCCTTGCTGGTGGTGTTGTACTCAGAAACAGAATGATCCACTGAATTCTTATGGGGCCTTTTTTCCTCTCAAAAACTTGAAGACTTGAAGTTGGCTATTGGCTCAACACTGTTTCAGATGCTGTCAATGTGTCAGGGAGTTTATCCTCTGTGGACTTTTGAATGCACTTGCAAAATGAGTGGAGCTTGTGCAGCAAATGCATGTGCACATTTTCATTTTTTACTTCATGAGGGTCCGCTCGCAGCCATTTGGAAAAGGGTCAGCAGGAGAAAAAAGTGATGACACAGACTTTTAAAACAGCGGAGATAGGCTTCACAATGTCCGTCAATATTTAATGTCCATGTGTCATGTCACTTTCTTCCCCTTGATTATTCCATTTCTGGGTTGGGGAGGTGGCAATCAGAGCTGCCACCCAAGTCTCAAAGCACCAGCCCCTCGCTCATCCTTCTGAAGGTGGTGGGTCCACAGGAAGGTGGCTTCTCCTTCATCGAAGACATGGCTTTGATCACAACTATCACTCGTACGCTATACACAAACCTGGCCTTTATGAACGAGTGGGCGAAGAGAGAAGAAAGCAAATATTGAAGCTGCATATAGGGGACAGAGCTACCTTGTGGAAACATTGTGCTTTGGTCAGATTTATTTCTATTTTATTAGTTTAGTTGACAGGGACATTGTGCATTAATAAAACATTTATGTAAATGCACCAGAATTAGCCAAGCAGGCTATTTTTCATCTGCAGTCCCTGGACAGGTGTACATAGTCTCCCTAAAAATAAAAGTCATTCAATAATAAAACGCAGAAAACACAGACAGTCGGCGAGAACAAGAACACATACATCATACAATAAAAACACAGTTCACATAAAAAATATATTTACAAAGCAATGAGTGAATGGCCTAGACTAATGGTTATATGTCTGCTGTGTTATTAACCAGTTTTTCAGATGTCATTTGAATAGTGAGTATGGTGTGAACTCTCTGATGTTTGCTGGGATGGAGTTCCAGTCTCTGGCAGCGGTTACAGAGAGGGCACTCTGACTGAAGTCTGACTGAAGACACTCCGTCTCAGAGGAACCAGGCAGTCCCCTCGTGCTGCCCCTCTGGTTACCCTCTGAGACACAGCGGTGTTCCTTATGTGGACAAACTGACTGGGTGGAGGAGATGACTGATTGTGGATTATTTGATATATTAAACAGAGATTTGAATACTTAATGAGATTGTCCCAGTTTAAAAGTCTGTGCTTTTGAAGAATATTGCAGTGATGATGTCGTATGGGTTTTTTGTCCAGTACTTTTATTGTCCGTTTGAATAATGATTCTATTGGTTTTAATGTTGTTTCATTTGCCTGTGACCAAGTTGTTAAACAGTGATGTGAGATAAGACCATGGAATGCTTAAACATTTTTGCTGCTTGCAGATAGTTGTGATCTGATGAACCGAAAATTTGAGAGATTGAATTTGACTTGCTTACTGACCTTATTCACTTTTGTTTTGAATGTGAGATTTGAGTCTATCGTGATGTTTGTATTCTGAAACGATGTGCAATTTTCCACCTGCAATAAGAACATCTGACCATTTATCTGTGTTATTGGACTTTGACGTTGAGTTTTAAGCATGACTGATGTGATGGGTGTTTGTCATGTGCATAAATAACTGTCATCAGCATACATTTGAATGCTGACGCAAGTAGGACAGACGGAAGGGAGGTCATTTCTGTAGAGGGAAAATAACAATGGACCCAAATTAGAACCCTGTGGAACCCCAGTTTTTAATGGGAGAGGAGAGTTGTAGTCCTTGATTCTGACTGACTGAGAGCAATTTATCAAAAAGTATTCAATCCATTGTATTGCCTCTGAGGAGAAATTGAAATAGCTTATTTTTGAGAGGAGTATTTGATGGATGACAGTGTCAAAAGCTTTTTTGAAATCAATAAAAACTGCCCCAACCACACCACCTTTGTCCAATTGCTGTTTTATGTTTTCAATAAAAAAAAAAATTAGCTGTCTCTATGGAATGGTTAGCCCAGAAACCAAATTTCATGGGATGGAGTGTAAATGATGTGGTGTTCAGATGTGTGATTATAAGTGGAGACAAAACCTTTACTGAGAGATCAGACAAAATCTTCTACTTTTAGGCCCAAATGCAAAGAGACTTCTGGTACAGCAGAAAAATTAAATTGAATTTACTCTTGTATAGTCCTAAATCACTAAAGTAGTAATCTCAGAGGTATTTACAAAACCGTTTGATTCTCTGATCTGTGTTGGCTAATTTAACGGTTCAAACACATGAAATGCAATGAAAGAAAACATGGGTTTTTGCTTCCACTTCATAGTTGACTGGGAACCTTCAGTAAAAAAATGAATAATATAAAATCTTTATATTTATGGCCGTAGACATGACGAATAAGTCCAAGCTGTATTAGGCCACAGTTGGTAGAGCATTGGCCTTTGAGCCTGACCGTCGTGGGTTCGAGCCCACCACAAGACTTTCTCCATCAACTCCCACTGATGTCTGCTATCGTTGTGTCCTTGGCAAGACACTTAACCTCTGGGAACACCAGGGCCGTAAAGTGCCAAACTGCCATTGTGTCCTTAGGCAAGACACTTCACCCCCATTGCCTAGAATGAGTCTAGTGTGTGTGTGAATGGTTGGTGGTGGTCAGAGGGGCTGATGGCACATACAGGTTGCCTCGCTTCTGTCAGTGTGCTCCTGGGCAGCTGTGGCTACAGTAGTTTATCACCACCATGTTTGGAGTGAATGAATGTAATGCATGTAATGCATTACATTGCAGGTATGCATCTTTGAGTCTCCAAAAAAGCGCTATATACAACTGATGCATTATTTTTGTTATTAATACTTTCTGTTATTGCATATACATGCACAGCATACACACATATTTACTAGGGCAGCGGGCTTTCACCAGTTATTACCCCCAAACTGGTCTTTTTGGTGGCCCATTGAACCATTTTCAATGATTAGGAATCACTTTATAAGTAAAACCTATTGAATTTAAGTTTGTTACGCATTCTTGTATCTTTTATTTAAAATATGTTTTTCAAATCTATTATAAATCCAACATCCCGCCCCCCAAATGTCCTTAGGTATTACTCAAGGAGGAAAGTTAACTAAAGCTGAGTTTACTCTATATAAAGTCAGTACATCCTGAAGTCGTTCTGCTGACATCTAGTGACAGGACTGAGTCTACACATTAATTCAGAAATAAAAATAATATTAGTATTGCTGTGATCGTGTAATTTGGTTGGATGCGTGAAATGTGAGTATCAGTCGCACCAGCTTAGAAGTGTGTTTGAGTGCTGAATGAGAATATGTTACTGTTGTTATGTTCTGTAAGTGAGTAGGGCTGTGGTGCGAATGCAATGAGATTCTTTTGTGTATGTCTAGGGCTTCCACAGTAACATTCACTTTTACTGTGAAAATTCCACAAAAATGGGTGTGTGCAAGATTGGTCCAACATGCACTTTTAATGATTAATGTAAAAATAATCCAAACGACATTTGTAACTACTTTCACTGCACACTTCACTGTGATGCCCTCTATTGGGCAAAGTAACATTCAAAAAGTACATTTTGGACCAATATTTCACTTTATCCCAATCGTTTTTCAATTTCCTCAGTAAAAGTGGATGTTACTTTGTATCACAGTGAACAAGTGTCAAACTCTTTAAGATGATTAAAAAATAATAATAATCGAAAAGTGCATTTTGGCGGCTCATCCCGGGGGTTTCATTTCCCCCTGTAAGGATTAGATAGCTATTTGGCCTACGTGCAGGACAACTTCAGGACTAGACAAGGACTCTGATTATGCATCCATGTTTTGACCTTGATATGCTCTGTCTCTGTGTGACACGTATGTCTTTCGATGTGTGACGTAACAATGACTATATAACATGTACTGACTCCATTTTGGTCTGAGAGAAAGAAACATCAGAAACCACTGGAACTTGAGAGAAACCTAAATAAACTTCCAGAGTTTGGCGCACCACGATCCGTCTCTGTCTGGTTCATTCCTGACACCCCTTTTACCGTAAGTTACGTTACGGCATAAAGTGGCTATAACCGCTTTTGATGTACGGACCACTTTACAGCTGAATTTGATAAGCCAGGCCACTTCACCGCGGCCTGAGGAGAATGTTGTGGAGCCGCTTTGCGTAAAGACCATAGACTGTTAAAATTAACGGACGTAGTCACGCCTATCTCCGCCGTTCTAACTAATGGGCCAAATATAGTGCTCTACTGGAGCTATCCAAAATAGCCGCGAGTGGTCCCGCCTACAAGAAAATTGTGAAAAAACGCATCTGCGCATGCGTCAGCCGGCGAGAGCTCCATTCATTTGAACGAGAGACTTCAAAAATTCACAGCAACTAAACCAGACTGGTCCAAAAAAATCCACCCCCCTCAGCATTGACACACATGTGGAACGGAGCTTTGGGGCAAGAGCCAACTTTTGGACCATCCCGTAAAGACGTTTTTTATATATGTTAGCATTGGCTAATTCTTATTCTGGGTCCACTCCCATCGGCCCGGGGTGGTAATGCAAGCATGTCAGCGCACGTCATTTTGGCCACTTTTGAGCCGGGACCCGCCCCCACTGGTAAAGACGCTTTACCCTCTCAGAACGGCCCGACTCTTTTTTGATTCCATGGATTAGGCAGCGATAATGCAGATAATTCTTGCATCAAGTTTTCAATTAGAGCACAAAAAATAAACTTCAGTCCGCTTTAGAGAGAGGGACGCGACGAGGGAGACGCAAGGCAGGGAGAGACGTGTGGAGTTTATTTTTATTTTTAACAAACTTGTGTTTGTCCATTAAAACAGGTTAATCAGGTCAATATTAATTGATAAAAGTTAAATCACAGTTTAAAAATCCAGACATAAATGTGCAAATACTGGGTGACATTGGAATGTTATTTAGGTTATAATTTTAGCAAATCCCATGTGGCTAAAATATATTGTATTGAAACTCACTGTTGGTTCCAGCCAGTCTTCTGGGTAACGGGGGTTGTATGCAGATGGCACCAGGCTAGGCCTACTGTTTCTTTGATTGATATGCTAAATACCAAAGGTCTCATTGTGAAACTGTGACTGTGTGGAAGTGGAGGTGTGTCTGATCCCCTTGAATACTACGTTACAGCCTGTAATGATTCAGATCTGTTCTGATAGACGCCGAGCTGTTGTGCGCTGACTCTATCACGACATTTTCTCCTTGTACAATGTAACAAGTAAAAGATTAAGTATGTCTGTTTCTTTTATGAGAATTTGTCAGGTTTAACGGTAGTTGAAACAGTATTAACACTGAGCAATAAATAAACAATGCAATACATTACACTCAAATTCAATTCATATGTTTTTCACAATGGTAAAAAGGCAGAAAAGTGCAGCTCCCTGTCTCTCACAGAGGAGACTTCCCTGAACCCACTGGCGCTCCTCAAAACCCTCCTGATCCCCATTTAGCCTGTAGACTCCAAACTCCAGCCTGAGTCTGGCCTGAACCATCCGGACCAGCAGAGCCCTGGGACTGACCTCACTCTGGTCCGGGACCCTCCTCCTCCTGCCCACATAGACTGCCATCTTTGCCTGTCCAACGAGGAAGCTGAGCAGCTGCCCTCTCATCCTGCTGCAGCTGGAGTACCTCAGCCCCCCACAAACACCTGTGATTCAAACGTGACTGAGCCTCCCACACTCTCAGAAGCAGTGGAAAACTGTCTCCCCTCCCCACAGCCCTGTTCACTCGACACACAAAGGCATTGACTGCTACTGCCCCATGCAGCAGCCCCCACTGCAGGTCCCCCTGTCTCTTGGTCAGAGGGGGCTTGAACAGGGCCCCCCAGGCCGGGCCCAGGGGCTCAGGTGTGACCTCCACACAGTGTCTACACGGTCACACAGTCTCTGGTGGTTCAGGGCCTGGACCATGAGGCTGTAAAAGGTTTTCCTTGAAGCAGCCTTCAGAGAGGCAGCAACTGGACTGGCCTACTGGCATACTGGCCAGTCCAGTCGCCATGAGGCTGGGGAAGGTGTCAGTAGGGTCAGGGGTCAGTGAGCCTGAACTGTTTTCCTCTAGTAGAGTCCAGTTCTCCTCTGCAAGACCCTCTCTCCAGAAACACAGAAGACGCTCCAGGGTGCGAGCCGACCTCAGGCCCAGGTGGGCTCCCAGGGCTTCCCAGTCCTCCAGCTGAGACCCACTCTAGGAGCTGCTGCACAGAGACCACCCCCCTGAACGGAAAGGCCCCGCCCAAGTGGAAAACTCCAGGGGCCACTGTAGGAGCCAGTGCAGAGAGGAGCTCTGCCTCTGCCTCTTCACTCTGCTCTATACAGAGAGCAGCCAACGATAGAAGGACGGGAGTCCATCTGGTGTGTGGTCACTGAGGAACACTGAGAGCCCCAGTCCCCCCGTCTTCTGCCCGCTGGGGACCGCCAATGGTCTCCACAGCAGCTCCTCTGGCCCAGCTAACAGGCCTCCCTGCTCCTTCGGCAGTAACAGCACTGCCTGCGGAATCCAGTGCAGCTTGTCCCAGACGAAGTCTGCGATCACAGTCTCTGGATCTGTGAGAGTAAAGAGGGAGGTGGGTGTGTGCACTGCAGCCTCTGCCACAGAGCGGAGGACACCAGGTTGTTGACAATGAGGACCCTCCCTCTGTAGGACATTTTGGTCAACACCCACCTCCTTTTACTCAAATGCCCCTGAAGTTGCTAAAGAGACTGATTCCAGCTCTTCTGGACATGACCGGGGCCAAGGAAAACCCCCAGGTGTTTGAAACCCCCTGTGCTCCACACTAGTCCCCCAGGCAGGCTCAGGCCCCTCAGACCCTCTTCTAACAGAGTGGCTGAGCTCTTGCTCCAGTTGACCCTGGAGCTAAAGATTAGGCCAAAGCTCTTGAGAGTGTCAGCCACGACCTCCAGATCCCTCTGGCTGTTGACGAACACAATAATGTTGTCTGGGAGTAGAGCATCCCTGACAGAGAGCAGCCCTGCCTAATGCCCCTCCTCACTCTGAACGGATTTTATAGTCCGTGCAGAGCAGTGACATCGGCCTCCAGTTCCTCAACAGCTGTAGATCACCCTTCTTTGGGAGCAAAGTGAGTACCGCTCTATGGCAGCTCAGGGTCAAACGGCCGCTTTCAAGACTGTCTTCCAGAAGGTCTGGCCCCAGAACGTCAAGCCCTTGTAAAAATCGGCCGAAAGTCCATCTAAGCCTGGAGCTCTACCTGGCTTTAAACTCCCCACAGCAGAGCTCAGTTCAGCCAGACTCAGTGGGGCCTCCAGTTTCTTATGCTCCTCGTCACTGACCTGAGGCAGACCATCCCCAAACCGGCCTCCGATGACAGAGCGTGTGGCAAAGCTCCCGACCTCGGCAGAGTCCGTGATGAGGCGACCGCTGTCCGAGCGCAGAGACTGGATGATCCTCTTTTGGCTGTTCTTTTCCCAGAAGAACTGGGAGGGTTCATCCATAAAGGACAGGGTTAGGCCGACTTTAGTGCTTTAAGGGACTGTAAACAAGAGGAGAGAGAGACGCGAGGAGGGAGAGAGACACGAGAAGTGAGGGACGCAAGGACAAGAGAGATGCGAGGAGAGTGAGAGAGACGAGAGGATTGAGATAGAAAGAGAGAGATGAAAGGAGAGAGAGAGACGTGAGGACAGAGAGAGAGACTGACGCAAGGAGAGAGACGTGAGGACAGAGAGAGGCACAAGGAGAGAGAGACGCGAGGAGAGGGAGGGACGTGAGGAGAGAGAGAGAAACGTGAGGAACATTAACAAGAAAACAAGTTGCAGAACTCTTGAGCAGTGTTTTTGGGGACACCAAGAGCCTAACGCCAAAGTCCTCCAACTATTTAGGGCTTTGATTGAAAGTCCAGTTTAGAAAAAAATCTTCAATCAAACCATCCGTTTAGCTCCTCTGGTATGAACCATAGACTATGAACTTCATGCTAACTTTCGTCCCCTTTGGTGAGGCACAGATACTATAAGCCTCAAAAGCCCAGATTTTTCTCCGATCAAAAGACTGAACATAACACAAGCTGAGTTATAACACTCCCCCTCGTCTCTTTGAATAGGAAAAAACAGGTTTTCAGCGATTTTGACTACAGAAATGATCCAAACTGGTCGGAACCGTATTGAAAATACATTGTCAATCAATCAATCAATTAAATCAACCAATGTATGCAACACAAAGTACATTTTACAGTTTAGTTAAAAACTATCCAACAACCCGCACAGCCACAGCAGACCTCAGCTTCAGTGCAGAGGAAAACTCCAGAGGAAACACTGGGGATACTAAAACAATACAATGAAAAGTAAAACATAAAAATTTTAGACTAAAAAGAAATCGGCAGCTATCTGATAATGATAGCAGTAAATGACAAATGGGATGCTTTTAGATCTGTTTTCTTTTTAAACTTGTTTGCATCATGAACCAAAGCAAATTTTGTGAATTACTGTTACTGAATTTCTCAGACGGGGATCAATGAAGTATCTATCCATCTTACAGTCCGTGTACTTTTGCGTTCAATACATTTTCTCTTTGAAGGAAAATCGAAAATTGAAAAAAGGCTATTTTGCACTTTCAGGCACACAGCAATATACAAAAATTACCTTTTTTTTTTCTTTAACTATAAAATGCAATAATGAATCTTTTTTATGTTGCATTCAATACATTTCGGCGTCAGTCGATTACCCGGAAGTGAAACGAGTTTGTTTACTTCAGCCCGGGATAAGTATAGGAGGATCTTTGTTTACACCTAGGTGCGCATGCGCCCCTCGCTGGGTGGCAAGAAGACAGAGCGGCGCATACTGAAGCATGGGTGCGACGGGTACTTTTTAAAAACTCAGTGGACGAATAGCTTTTTCTACTTTCTGCGTTGTTTTTTGTCAGTGAGCAGAGGAGTCACGTATCGCGGCTGTGTACACAGCTGCAGAGTCGTGGCTGTAATGTGTTCACTGACACTAAATGATCAGACTGATGGGTTGCATTTGTACGTTTACTTTGCACTCTGTCCTAATACAGTACAGACGTGTTGATGCAACTGCTTGTCGGCTAGCACGTTTGTCAGTATGTGGTGCGTTCATGGGTAGTCCCTACAAACATTGCATTGTTAAACATTACAGACAGCACTGCAGAGCAGTAAAATCCACATGTATGTGTTTGTCTACATGGAACTGTGGCTGCTGTGGTCAGATGCCAGTCTTTATGAACTGCGTGAAGCGGAGAGAGCCGCGCACGTGCGGCCGTTACGTGAGATGTCAGAGAAAATATAGTAATTTACAGATATTGCTTATCCCGTGATCATGCACTGCAAGATCTCAGACATCCTCCACAATTATCACAAATTACCAGGGGTCCACAGGTAGCACTAATCCCGTGCGAATAAGGCTGAAGTATACAAACTCGTTTAACTTCAGGGTAATCGATTGACGCCGAAATGCATTAAAAAAAATAAAAAAGGTTAATTATTGCCATTTATAAAATAAGAATAATTATGTCTTTCTATGATGGCAGGTGGGGCCCCCTGACTGCACGTCCTTGCTCGGGATATATACCATAAGCGCAGTAGGCAACAAAACAATGCACAAAACTATCTCCATGATTTTTGAAATACGCAAGAATGCATAATGTATGGTCCAAAACATGCGACAGCCTAATGTGGTGGATATTGACCCACGCGTGTAAAAACTTAAGAAAACTGAGAAAATTAAAGTTCTTTGTTATTTATTTTCAAAGGAAAAAACACTGCCAACAATACAACACGGTGGAAAATATTAACCTCCTAAGACCCGAGCCCTTTTTTGCAATGCATTTTTTATTTATCTTGGCTAATTGGGCATATTGGGGCCAGATAAGAATATATACTAAGCATCATCTCTTGACATGATGTACATTTTGAGAAAAATGCTGTCGACATATGTGGACGCTCGGTCTGAATTTCCATAAAAAAGGCAATTAAGTAACGACTGTGTAATAAAGTGCAAAACGCTTTATTTCGACACAAACATTTGATAAATGAACAATATTGAACAAGGAACATGTTCAAACATATCTCAGTGCAAAAACAGCAAAAAGAGTACTCGGATGATCCTGGGAGCTATTTGTCTGGGGATTCATGCCCCTGGTAGGGTCTCCCATGGCAGACAGGTCTCAGGTGACGAATCAGACGAAGCGCAGTACAAAGCCAACATAAATAGCATGATATTAAGAACCGTGACGTCGCCCGGCATGGCACAGGGGTTGCAGAGGCAAAAACCCGGGACTGGGAGGAGTGTGGAGAGTCCATGGAGCATGACTATCGGTCGGCCTTAATAAATTGAAGATATTCTGGCAAACCGTCCGGCGCCTCAGGAGGGGGAAGCAGTTCTTTGCCAACACCGTGGACGGTGTCGGGCGAAGAGCTGCTGACCTCCACTGGGGATCTTGTCGGGCGGTGGAAGTAATACTTCAAGGTTCTCCTCAATCCCCCCGTCACGTCCTCCAGAACGGAGGCAGAGGTTGAGGATGTTGGGGCAGATACCTCCATCTCCCTGGCAGAGGTCACCAAGGTGGTTGGCAGCCTCCTTGGTGGCAAGGCTCTGGGAGTGGATGAGATCCGCAAAGACTATCTAAAGTCTATTGTAGGACTGTCTTGGCTGACATGTCTCTGCAACATCGCGAGGCGATCGTGGGCAGACCGGGATGGTGGTCCCTCTCTACAAGAAGGGGGACCAGAAGGGTGTGTTCCAATTATTGTGGGATCACACTCCTCAGCCTTCCCGGTAAGGTCCACTCCAAGGTACTGGAGAGGAGGCTACGGCCGATGGTCGAATCTCGGATTCAGGAGGAGCAGTGTGGTTTTCATCCCGGCCACGGAACACTGGACCAGCTCTATACTCTCCATCGGTTCATTGAGTGTTCATGGGAGTTCGCCCCCAACCGGTCCACATGTGTTTGTGGATTTGGAGAAGGTGTTCGACCGTGTTCTCCGGGATGTCCTTTGGGGGGTTCTCCAGGAGTACGGGGTATTCTGCCTTAGGGCCTTACGGGCCCTGTATGACCGGAGCCAGAGCTGCGTTCGCATCAGCAGTAAGTCAGACCATGTTGACCTCGGCCAGGGCTGCCCTTTGTCACCGGTTCTGTTTACTGTGTTTATGGACAGAATTTCTAGATGCAGGAGGGGGTCCGGTTCGGGGACCACAGGATTTCATCTCCGCTTTTTGCAGACGATGTTGTCCTGTTGGCTCCGAGGTGCCTTGCCCTCTCCAGGTGGGTGGAGAGGTCCTTCCTCAAGGAGTTCAAGATCTCGGGGTCTTGTTCACGAGTGAGGGAAGGATGGAGCGTGAGATTGACAGGCGGATCGGTGCAGTGATGCGGTCGCGGTGAAGCTGAGCCGAAAGGCCTTGGGCTCCCCCCTGACAAACTGGAGTAAGTGTGTGTGGATAGGGAAGTCTGGGCATCTCTGCGACCCGGCAACGGATGAAGCGGAAGAAAATAGATGGATGGATGGATTTAACTCATAGGAAATAGACTAAATCAAAGAGCAAGTAAGCACTAATTTTGGAATTATATAGTATGCTGGAAGCACACTGGCTTGATTCAACAGGTGGCCCTTTTAGTTGATGGTGACATAGAAAAACTTGACAATAATAGCAAAAAATTCCATCGAACACAGGTGCATTCCACATGCGATTAGAACAATTTTCAACAAAACTAAGTCCTTCTGTCCACATATGTGGACATCATGTTTAGCAGTCCAGACAATTGTTTTTAAATTGTAATTATTGTAAAATTTCATGCCATGACAAACTTACATCACTTATAAAACTATCTGAACAAGAATAATCTTTGAAATCGGATTGGAATTTTTACTTGGTGGATTTTTTGGTTGGGAACTTGCATGTGAACTTTCCTGTGCGCGGTCAGCCATTTTGTTTTGTGTTAGCTTGTGCTGTAATTCCTCCAACACTGCTAGAGGGCAGTGTAGGTATTGCTGTATGTGGACCCCAGGCCCCAATAAATCAGGATGAAGTATTATGTTTGTACAGCCCAAAATGTGATGTCCACACATGTGGACGGCAGGTCTTAGGAGGTTAAAGGCTCCTCCACCTACACTGTCACAAAATCAAAAGGAACACAGGTGTCCTAATATCCAGAACAGGTGCCATGATGAGCCTGAGCCACAGCAGCCACAGCACCATCCAGTGGCAAAATAGGCACGTACAGGCGCTATGATGCGGACCTTCGTGACTCAACTGTCATATGTACACTGCAGAGTTCACTGAGCACTAAAATAACTCTACACTCACACTGTACACAAGCACAACACCTCGCAGTGTTGCTAATGAAGTACTGAAAGTGTACATGAAGCCCAACCAACTCTGAAATTTTAACACTGTGGGTTTTGCTGTGATGGCTGATGCGCATACACCACTGTACTCTTCTCTGTCAACAAGGCACCAAAGGTTTGGTGCAGCCTGGTGGGCTTTGAGGTGGAGGTCATTTTGCAGGGTTACAATTTCAATCTCCACCTGTTCAGCATCCAGGCTGAATGTTGCACTCAACTGCTCAGCAATGCATGATATGTCCACGTCCATGAAAGGATTAGAAATGAACAAAACACATGGCTCAAGCTGATCCAGGTCACAAAACCTGTTCTCAAACTCTTGTCCAACTCTGTTTATGACCTGTGAGTACTTTTCTGCAACTTTGTCAAAAGCCTCAAATGCAGAAGCATTGTATTTCAGCACCATCTGCACAGAGGGAAAGTCGAGCACTTTTTAACTGCATTTAAAACACTTATAACTTAGTTTTACCTTTGCCTTGCAGCTCACAGTTCAAACGGTTCAGTTTTCCAGTAATGTCCGTCAAAAATGCGAGGTCAAGTATCCACTCAGTGTCCTCCAGCAGCACGATGTCCTCACCTCTGGACTGCATGAACTCTTTGATTTCACCCAAAAGTGACAAAAAACCTTGCAAAATTCGTCCCCTGCTGAGCCATCGGATTTCTGTGTGTAGTAGCAGGTCACCATATTCAGCTGACAGCTCCTCCAAAAGTACCTTGAATGTTCTGTGCTGTTTAGCTCTGGAGCGGATGCTGTTTATGATCTTTACGACGGGAGTCATTACATGCTCAAAGCCGATCACTTTTGCACATAAGGCCTGCTGGTGTATGATGCAGTGGTACTGGAGAAAGTATGGGAACTCTGGGTAAGCTTTACGGTGAGCAAGAAATCCTGTGTGTCGTCATAGCAGGAGCCCCATCCGTAGTCACTGATACCAGCTTTTCCATTGGCACCTTTTTTTCCACCAAAAACTCCTTCACTGCGTTATAAATGTCAATTCCCATCGTTGTTGTCTCCAGGGGCAGTAGTGTCAGAAGTTCTTCTTTTGTGGAGAATTCCTCAAACGCCATCCGGATAAAGACCATCAGCTGTGCCGTACTGCTGCTGTCCACCGACTCGTCACACTGAATGCTGAACCACCGGCACCTCGCCAGATCACGGTCCAGCTGGTCGGTCAAGTTCTCTGACATCGGTGACACTCTTCTTACCATTATAGTTGCCCCGAGTTGAACATCCGAGAGACTGGAGAGTACATCGGTTCCATACTTCTCGTCTTCAAGCACAGTTTTAGCAATTGTCATCATTGCTTCTTTGACAACCTCCCCGTCTGTAAATGCCTTCTTTTTCTTCATCAAGAATTGCGTAGCTCTAAACGAGGTTTCGGTTGCTTTTTGGGAGATTTTAACCGGTCTAGTGAACAAAGACTGCTGTTTGCACAAAGCTGCCTTTAATTTGTGTGCTTTTTCTACGCGCAGGGGGCTGCCCGGTGGCTAGTTAGCATTGTACAGTAGCTTGTGTGACACATAGTGAAATGTCTCTCCACATTGTGCCGCTTTGCTATTGCCCAGTTGCCCCACAAATGAAACACGTGCAGGATCCTTTCACAGTGATTAAAAAAAAACTACCTCCCATTCGTCTTGAAAATATGGAAGCCCGTTTCCGCCATCTAAAAAAAAAAAAAAAAAGCATACAGAAAGTCAAAATTTTGAGTTTAAAACTCAAAATTACGACTTTTAAAAGTCAAAATTTCGACTTTAAAAGTCAAAATTACGACTTTAAAAGTCAAAATTTCGACTTTAAAAGTCAAAATTTCGACTTTAAAAGTCAAAATTACAAGTTTTCAACTGCGCATGTGCAGTTGAAAACTCATATGTGTTGTTGTCTGGAACGGTCTCTGGACGTCCTTCACCTGCAGATTATGTGAAGATATTGCCTACAGTGACCACTGCATCCTTGAAGTAGCCAGAATTAATGTTGTTTGATTGATTCTGTAAAACTTTCCTGTTTAAGCCCCAGACCGCGGTCGTAGGACGCAGGGGGGAGCTGTCTTTTTATTTATTTATGTTAAATTCAATTTACATATATACAACATTTAAATCAAACGACTTCTTATTTCGACATAGTAACAAATAATGTGAGCAATACGTTTTTATAATAAATCAAAGGAAAATGAGCCATCGAGACATTCCAATCCAATCTGCTGTAGACCACTCTGACCAGACGATGGCGCTGAGAGGGGTCCACACGGAGCGAGTATTTCCACGGCTGAAAGGATGCGCTTTCTACGGTTTGTGTACGGGGTTTTATTCATGCATCTATAATGGGTTTATCTATTTCTAACCCTTTTCAAAGACCCTCACTGTTATCTGCGGAGTTATTTCTCCGGTTTGTTGCTAAAAGAGTCGTGGGCTTTATTTTGTCACAATAAAATAATCAGACAAGGTACTTATTCCCTGTATGTCTCTGTGTTCTTGCTCATACGCCAACAACTTTACCCGCACGCTCGCTCCATCAGCTCACCCCCGCGTGCACGCAAACACGTCACATACTCTTCAATGCACTGATCGCAATTCCAAAAGGGTAATAATGTCAGTGCCCGTGACTGTGGTTTACCTGCCTCTGTCTGTGGTTCACCTGCCTCTGTCTGTGGTTCTCCTGCCTCTGTCTGCGGACCTCCCTCACTATCCAGTAATCGCGAACGGTCTCTCTGTCAGTCACAATAATATTCAGTGCATTTCTGGTGCATCCATCGATAGCAATGATACTGACCAGATGTCACCAGTTGATGCTCAATGACTTTGAACAGCCACATGTGTTTTATTATTAATCTTCCACAGTCCGTTTAGGATAAACTAAATAGAGGCTTCTGAAGCGGATTCTAATCATAAACGGAGAGACCGTTTGCATTTTAACGCGATTACTACCACAACATTATTGCTGCTACTTCATGGATGTGGTCACTGTCTGTAGGAAAAATCTTCACATAATCTGCAGGTAGAGGATGACCCATGGTCATGGATCTATAACAGGGATGACCAGAGACCGTTCCAGACAACAACACATACGAGTTTTCAACTGCACATGCGCAGTTGAAAACTCGTAATTTTGACTTTTAAAGTCAAAATTTTGACTTTCAAAGTTGTAATTTTGACTTTCAAAGTCAAAATTTTGACTTTTAAAGTCGTATTTTTGACTTTTAAAGTTGAAATTTTGACTTTTAAAGTCGAAATTTTGACTTTTAAAGTTGAAATTTTGACTTTCAAAGTCAACATTTTGACTTTCTGTAGGCTTTTTTTTTTTTTTTACATGGGGGAAACGGGCTTCCATATGAAAATGATATGTTTTCTTTATTTTTTCTGACATTTTTTGGCTTTGGCTTTGTAAGAGCGCAACAAAGGCTACGTTTTGGTCATGTGCACAATAGTGACCTTTGAACTAAGGTCAGAGTTATTTGTATATAAATATTTGACCTGAGAACAGTGAAAAGTAATTTTGTTCACACGGATTTTTTTTTATCTGTCATCGCCTCCACACACACTGATAACATACGCTTTTTATGCCCAAAATCATCTGCACTCACAGTGAGCACTAGAGGTGGGAATACGCTGTTTGCTAAAGGTTTTATAATACATTTTTGATGTGTGCATTTGGACTAAGCATCAGCAAAAGCAGCTTACACACCTGTGTCTCGCTCTTCCTCCTCCTCCTCCTCTTCCTCACACACAGAGTCCATCGCTCCATACACTGGGGCAGCGCTCTTTCCCGTCTCTAACTCACTCGAATTAAGACACCGCCAAAGTTGGTCTATGCCTGTAATAATGTACTTTTGAACAGCAGAAGTCACGGAGCTCAGTTGGTAAACGGTAAAATCGGTCCATCTGAAACTCATCCAGTGAGGGAGGTTCCGCAATGCAAAAATACATACTAATGCGTCAATTTTTTTAAAGCGCTAATTTTTGTGTGATCAATTTATCTTAATTAACGCGTTAAAGTTCCGGCCCTAGTTTATATATATTGTCATGTGTAAGTTACATGTACTGTAAGTGTTATTTAAACGAGAATAGCACTGGTAAGTGCTGCTATTTGAGCTATTGTTAGAACGGGCCAGCGGGCGACTCATCTGGTCCTTGCGGGCGACGTGGTGCCCGCGGGCACCGTGATGGTGACCCCTGGGATAAATGCTAACTGCCAACAGTAAACAGGGTGATGCTATGGGAATCAGCACTTGCTTTCCTCTAGTGGAAAACCATGCTGAACCAGTCCAGATCCTTGTGGAATTAAAAGTCGTCAAATTGACCGCACTGGTAATTCTAGTTTTAATAAAGTCAAGCTCCCTCAAAAATGTGCTCTGGCCGGGTTCAGAGCCAGGTACAGCCCTGGCTTCAGAGTCCTGGCTTCAGAGTCCTGGCTTCAGAGTCCTGGCTTCAGAGTCCTGGCTTCAGGGACCTGCCCATGGGGATTCTTTCTGTGTTTCGTCGCTGGATAATTACTCTTCATTAGGATCTTTGCAGGTCAACCGCGGTCTTCCTCCTGTGTGACAGGATTGAGACGAATGGGCCGCTGAGGCCGCATCCCCTCGCCGCTACCGCACCAGCTAATTAGCACGTCTACATAAGAGCGGGCAGTGGGGGTTCCTTGTAATGGACTCACAGATTCTGTTCTGGGTTTTGATGAGGAGTGCTCGGTGGGAGCAGCATTTGAGATGGGGGAGACTGGTCATTTTTAGAAAAAAAGGCTAATTTAAAGCTGCAAGAGGCGTTGAACAACCACACAACGCACACAGCGCAACACCGCACTGCGCAATGGGCCGTTTTACTGATAAAAGTGTTGCAGCAGTTTTTGATGCTACACTTGTTGCCAATATTTGGAGGGAATTTGAGCCTTATAGGCATGACGGCCGAGGCTGGTTTGGCAAAGTGTACATATAATTATTTGGATCACTCTGTAGTGAAAGTGAACTCTGAATTTTTAGATCCAAGAGCAATCGATTCACGTTTGGTGAATAAAATTGAAGTTGTCAAATTTGGGGGAAAAAGTCAAAATTTGCTGCTCAACTGTTTGCACATTTTTTAACCAATCAAAATGCTGCCAACTTTTTATGCTACATGTGTTGAGATGATATGGTCATGGTTTGTTATTAGTGGTAGTTTAAAACTGAGAGATTTTATGATTTCCCCCTTGACGCAGAATGGGGTGTGTTTGCCATCCCTGCGGCTACACGCTGTAAAATAAGTCTCACACCTCATTGACTTTTTTGATTGGAATGTCATAACGGAATTTTGTGCAAAATATCAAGCATTTTCACAAAAATGTATTTCTTTATTACCTTACTTACTGCTTTAGCTCACTCTGTAAAGGAACCAATGCTGTGTTTTCATGTTTCTCACATTCAGTTGACCTAGTCCAACACCACATTCAAATTTGGTGCCAATCAGACTTTGTATGTGTCCACGGGAGAAAATATGAAATTCTCAAAGTTTGCACTTTCGAGCCTAAAACCGTCTGTGTGGCTCTACATTTGAATGTTGTGCCTGGCCTCTCTGGAGTGCAGTGTGGCATTGCTTTGTGCAGTGTGACGTCTGTTGGTCGCCGCCTGTGGCATAAAAGAGTCTCGCGTACGCCACTTAGCGAGTTGGAGTAATCTGGCGACATCAATAGGTTTAAAATGAAATAACATCAGTTTAGAGCCACTGCTGCTGAGATAATTCTGGGGCTTAGGTCCAGCTGTCTAGCTCTACAATTCTCTTAGTGTGTAAACAAGGGTGGAATGAGTTTGTCATGTGTAAACTATTACTTTAAGCAGCAATGACAACTGTTTGTTTCTTTTGTGTGACAAATGAGCTGTCAATTACAGCCCAGACTAAGCCCCCCTTCTTGTCCCCTGGTCCTCCAGGCAAAGCCCTTTTTAGAGAAAATGTTCAAATGTTCATGTGAGTGGAGAATGGGCGCAAGGGTTTAGTTGATCTTTAAAATGCGCTTTAAAAAGATACAAGAAATGTCTTTTTGGGAATGAGTGAGACTAAATGTTTTTGTCCCATTAGCAATTCTTGTTTTAACACAGTCAGAATGTACTCAACTGAAAATAATCCCTTTACTGCTCCTACACTGCAACAAATTAGATTTGTTGCAGTGTAGGAGCCATTTGTCCCTAAAAGGCAGATGTCAGACTTCCATAAATGTTAATAAATGT